ATTGCTGCTTTGAAAAGTAAACTCTACAATTTTCGTGCCCACATCTGCCAGCCGCCCCCTCTTTAAAAGTGACGACATTTTATTGTGTACACGTGACACACAATTTTGCAATTGTCGCTGTCTTTGAAAATTGTTCAATGCGAGAGTCCCCGTAGCCGCCGTGTCGTGTTGTCCGCAGCAGCCAAACGTTAACTTTCGATTCTCGAGCTTCATTAAAAATGTTTAGTGCTTTATAACGTTGGCGGCCGCGAGTCCTGCAGCATGGCATGTGCCATGTGGCAAGCAGGGCGCCCCATGTTTCTTATGGCCACAACACAGCAAAATGTAACTGCTTAGTTAATAATTTATCCCGTCTTGTTCCGGCCACGCTTAAAGCTTAGCAAGCAAACTACGTTGCCGCTTTATGAGGCAGCAAATGACGATGCGTCGCAAATACGCGCTATCGACCGAACCGCCTGCAGGACATAGGTCCTGCTGTAGCGCAGATACAAAAGGTTAGGGGGGCGAGTGCGCTTCGATGATGTCGGCAGTAAATAAAAGCACGTTTATGGACAGTCACTTGACTGGACAGGGTATGCTAGCAGGAGACGTGGTCATGCTCCGACATTTGGTACACACGACTGCAGGCATGTATACCATACATATACACATGTACATGTATGTACAGATGCACGCGCAGTATTTATACGATAAACGCGTGTCAAATATAATTTTAAAAACATAATGCTACGCAAAGGAATATAAAATGTTGTACGAGTCTACGAGGAGGTGCGCAGGGTCAGATTGGCTGCTGTAGAAAGTTGGCAGTCATTGGGGATGACGTGGGCTAGAGATTTCGTGCTCATGAATACCCCTACTCACACCATCTATAGCGTTTGGTGTAAACAAATTGTTGGAAAAATATAGAGGAAAAGAAGCTGGATGTCTATTTATTTTCTTAAAAGCATTTTGCTACTTAGCTGCCGCCCACGTACTTTAATGCGCCGCGCAAAGTTTGCCAAATCACTGATATCGAAATAGGCCAAGTCAGAGCCAACCAATTAATTGCGGCTCAAAGTATTTAAAAGTCTATGCGAAGGTTCGAAATTTTTGCATAAGTCATTGGTCAAATTTGCAGTGCCTAACTTTGCAGACTGCTGGCCGCCTTTCTTTGGCACTTAAGCGTTACGCATACGCCGTGTTGTGCTGCAAGCTAAAGCCACGCAATGTCCCATGTCAGCAGCAACTCGCCATGGTTGTGCGTGATAATTCTGCGCGATTGTGGTCACATTAAAGGTTTCCGCATTGCGTTTGATTTAGGACTAGAATGTGTGGCCTGGAATTTGTAATTATGGCCGTGGTCGCGTCGTGCTGACAGCTTAATGTGTCGGTAGCTTTTACGAGCTGCACGTGTTTTTTGGCGAATCCGTTTGATTTATGTTCTACGATTTCGGCCTGTAAGTGCGCAGGCAACGCGTGCCTTCAATTTTTAATTACCGTGTCTAACGCAAAACTGAGTTATTGATGTAGGTCAGGGCACATGCATGAAGTGAAATGAACTCAAGCCGTTGAACTTTAGTTCGTACAGCATTTATCAAACTTATCGGGCAATCGTGCGTAAAATCCTGGAAGAGCCGAAAATTGATTTTCAACCGCAGCCTATCTCTGGCCTAAATAAAAGTAAAAGAGATAAAAGTAGGGAGGCTGTTTTCTGTGTAGTCAACATTTTTTAGCAGTTCTATTCTCGAAAATGATGTAAATTCACCTAAGCCCATAGAAAAGTGCTCCGCCTTGCACTTTCCACGAATAACGTCCATTCGATAACAATAATAACTGACTAATTGGATTAACTTTTGGATCGATTTGGCCTCTCAACATTTAAATCCCCATTTAAAGCTGCCGCCCAACCAATTGCGCTGGCTGCACATAAAGGCTTATGACACTGGTTTTGGCCAATGAATACAATCGAAATTCTCAAGTATGCATGAGTATGAGGATGAGTGGCAATTGTTATTGCGTTGGCCTGATGATTCCGATGCGTAAAAAATTTGTTGTTTCGGCATTGGCAAGTCACTGAAAGCGGCTTACAAAACAATTTTGTGACAATAAAAAGATTAAAATGTTGATAAGAAAAAAGTCAAAAACACAGACAAGTTAGGTGCTTATATAAGAGATCGAACTAAGCTGCTTTCCCAGCTAAATATTTCTACTTAGACGATAGGCAAATCATTAAAAGTCTATAACATCGGGCAGATGGGAAAGAGCAATTAGCCCAGCCCCACAGCAGTTACGCTTATTTCGCTATGCCTGCTCAGAAAGAAACTTTTCGCATATAATTTAAACGAACACTTGCTCCGGGCACATATGCTTTGTTTCGTAAAAGCCATAAAGCCAAAGCACTTGCTGACACACAACACACTGTCGTTCAGCCATAGACATGTGTACTACACATTTAAATTACGCAACGGAAACAATTCGATGCGATTTATGAAGCAACTTCAAGGCGCGCACACGCGGAAATACCTAAACAGGAATAACAACAAGCTTTTTTGCGTACAATTACAGGTACTAGCACATACACAGTTTGAGTCTGAAGTTATGCTCAGCTTCGTTTGCTCGCACCACAATAATAGAATTGTTTGTTAATAAAAGGATTCTGCTGTAGGATTAAGAAAACTCTTCACTTTAGCACTTGTTAGTTACCAAAGCTTTGCTTGCTTTGTGAATCAAATTTCACAAGCAACCAGCAGTGTAAGTTGCTTGATGGGAGGGGCTCAAGTGGCCGCCGGGCGTTCGAAATCAAATAACAAACTTGCGGCAACTTTAAGAGTATGCGACAAATACATCACGTCTAGTGTTTAAACGGCTGTCCAAATTGTTTGGCGAGTGGCTTTAGTTCTTGTGCATCATCCGCTCGCACACACTTTGGCACGCACGAGTTCACTTTGTGTTCGTTGTGGTCCTTAGAAAAACTTAATTGATTTAAGAGACGCCAGCTCACATGTGAAACTTAGCTCATTAGACGTCAAAACACACACCAAAACCAACATACAAGCACACACACACACACACACAGATATACAAGCTTAAACATGCAGTAATAAAGCTTCGGTGGGTAAATGTATTATTTGCTGCATACTTTCAGGCGCATAGCTGCCATTAAACACAATTTACTTGTGTGTTTGCATGTATGTATTTTAGCAATTCACACAGCGGCAGTTAATTACCACTTGAGGTGCCAAGCAATGACTATAATTTTTCAACGTCACTCGCAATGCAAACGATATGTTACTCATACGCCGCGTTGCGCCCTACGAAGTGAGATAAAATACTTATTCCACTTTGATGTAAATACAAATGACAGTGTTCTTAAGGGTGCATGTTTGAGTGTGCTCGCTGCTTGACTCCTATACGGAAAACTGATAAAAAGGAAATGTTGTCACATAAATAATACTACACACCACAGCACGGCTCATGTCCCAGCAGACGAAATTCCAACAATTGTCAACGGTGGAGGAGTGTGCGACTGGTGTAAAGTAAAAATATGAGGTACTAGGAGACACCAGTTGCCTAGTTCTGGACTTCTTAAATAAGAATATATATAAAATGACTCAATATGTTAACAAGCACTTATCAAATAGCCTTATTGAAAGAATTAAAGATAAGTAAGCATAAGTGAGAGTTAATTTAATTTATTAGATTGACACGAAAACTAGTTGACATAACACTAAGTCAAAGTATTAGGACTTGGCAGCGTTACTTGAATTAATGAGAATAACATAGCAGGGCGATATATAAATAAGATAAAATTTGATATTTCAAATGTCAATCGAATTCATTGTTTATTCAATCGTGAATGGTGTGTGTAAATTGTATTTATTTTAGAAAATTGCTGTTTATTTTAGTCAATAAACTAGCATAGATTAAATTTCAAATTTTGAGCTAGTACAAGCAAGCCAAGCAAGTGCTTTAAGTGCCGCTATGACAAAAATAAACGCCGCATATATTAAACACAATATCCATCAGCGTTGCCAAACTGTAATACTCAAAAAGCCAATCAGCAAAATGATAATTCCTTCCAACTGAATAATCTCTTTAGCAAGCCAAACGAATAAACATGAAAGAAAGACAGCCAAACGAGTGAAAAGTAATTATTGGTAAGAGTGTTTAATAGTTGACGTTGATGACATGTCATGCCAAAAGCTCGACCACAAACGGACATCCCAGTGCTGCGTTGCCATGTGGGCGCCAGTGTAAATAAAATGTTTGAAAGGATAAAGCAAACAGTGCTGGTTTTTCATTCCAATCGCCACCAACCTGTTCTGATAGTTTTGAAAAACTCACACTACGGTTGAGAGATGTGTACAAAAGTTTGTTTAAGGCTGCGAACTCATTTGAGAGCCCTGCATATAAAAATTGGAATTCCGGCAAATGCTCCCATGGGGAGAATGATGGCTGAAGTTGGAAGAAAGACTCTTAATAAAAGGCTGTTAAATCATCTCGTATTGTCTTCCACTTGCTGTATATTTTATATTGTATTTTGAAAGGGACGTTGCCATTCAAAATTAAAACAAAGTTACAATGCAATAAATTGAATTGCGAGTTTACGAGACGTAACCAAACTGCCCTTTGGGGGTCTGGCAGCGCGTCTTCATGCTCATTGAATCGCAATCGCATTCGCAATCCGCATTTGGTGTGCCGGGTCAAGGGACACGGGTCACCAGAACAGCCCATAACACTTAAATACAAAATGAACAAATTAATATGCCGAGTGGCAAGTCCAAAGCCTTAAGCATTGCTCGGAATAACATTACTTGAGCGCGACTTGAGGTCAACATTATTTCAATTACATGCCAATGCAATTGAGAGCCAAACGTGAGCTGCGTGAAAGTCCACAGTTTTTGGATAAGCCCAACTCGAAGCAACCCGGATCACTCCTTGAGTCAGTTAAAACCAGGGTAATATTTAATAGCCGCAAGGACATGCACGTAACGGGCCAAAACAAAAAGGAAACACGAAAATATCTTTTCACGAAATTCTTCAGAAATGTAATACAAAAGGAGGCATGAATCCAAGTCTGCATAAAATTTAATCGTCTGTGTGCGTCATGGTTGGGTTTTTTTTTTGGGGGAAGGCTGCGATTGAGCGTATATGTCTATATATAAATATAAATACATTTATGGTACAACTAGAATAACATAAAATTCCTGTACTCGTACAACTAACAAGAGTGAGAGTTCGGTTAAAAGCAGAACGCAATTGAAAGGCGCGCTCCGCGCCTACGAGTAGAATGTGAGCACGCTTGTCTGATTGCCTCGCACAAATAGAAACGGTGGCATATCACGACTGAGACTCTCCAGCCAGGCCATGTAGAGGGGTGCCGAAACGATGTTTTTACGCGGCATTGGCAGCGTCATCACCACAAGATCCGATTTGGTTGACTGCTCGCGTAGATACTCACGCAGTCGCAGATAACGATTCGTCTTGTCCACAACGGCCAGCAGATCATCTTCGCTTATGTGAGCTAGAGCTAGAGCATACAAATGGAAGAAATGAGACCTAGAAGTGACTGGCAGTTGGTCAAGGATTCTCACCTTCGTCCTCGTTGAGGGTTCCCTTGCTGCTGTGACCATTGTCCTTGTCGCTCACAAGAAATTCCTTAATCAGTTCAGTGAAGAACTGTTTGGATGTTTCCAACGGCTTCTTGGTAATATCCGGTATCAACGTCAGGTCGGAGTAGTCAATGCGAAACTTGGACAGCAAACTGGCCATCGAGCGTTGCTCATACTCCAATTCCGCTTTCTTGTTGGCCAGTGCATAGACCCTGCGCAGTGAATATTTAAAAGCCAAGTGTGAATTCTCCCTTTGTGCAAGTGCAATTACATATTGAGGATACTATGTATCGACAGTGACTGAATCCAATTTACAGATGTTGCCCGAAGAGCTTCCATTTGTAAAAACTCTTTCGCGCTTTTCGAAAGCCAATAAGAAAGTAAGTTCAATGCAAATGGAGGCAACGACTGAGAGATACCCTTAACACTAAAAAGGCTAAAAATAAATTTATTATGAACTACTGTCAAAGATAAAAACATTTTGGTAACAACTTTTTGTTTACAGGCATACGGAGCCAACACAATCTCAATAGGCCCAATTCGCTAGTTAAGAACTGAGTATAAAAAGCACAGAACGAAAACTCAAATCACTCGCTTCGTTTCGCATACCAAATGTTATACTTAACGAGTCAGTGCGTCACTGCAGTTCCGATAGGTTCCCCAAGTGTCGGTGTGTCAGTCTCAGAGCTGTCGGGATGACCTGTTTGCCAGGCACACGCATCTGTCAAGCAATCAATGCGTCAGTTAGTCAGTCGAGCCGAGTCCCGCCTAAGGAGACTGCTGAAGCTACTTGGTTTGACTGCCTGTTTCCTGCAATGTATCAGCTCGCACGGAATTCAGCCAAAAAGTATCTTGTCAGGAGAAGAAGTCGCAGCAGTGGCTGGTGCCACGGGTTGGCATATTTGAATAAAATTCAATTCATGCCAAATAAATCCGCACAGGCATATCCGGGGGCTTTTTAAATGCCTTGGGATGTGAGCCACATACATAGCTTTCTGCTGAAAATGGCCCGGGCTGGCTTGCTGCTTACCTCAATTTACATGATTGCCAGGTGCGTCGAGTGCTGATGATGTAGGGCAGCAACAATGTGAGGCCGCCGTCGTCGTATAACCACCAGACATCGATGATGGCGTGGCTGCGCTTTCTCGTAAATTGCGTCAAGTCAGCCAGCACATCCTTGGATAGCTCGACGCCACCTGGTCCTCTGTAGAGAGAAACGGGATCGTCGTGTTTCGCCTTCGATTTGCTTAGTGTGCTGGGCTGTTATTATTGTTGTTGTTGCATGACGGCAAATTGAGTACAATTTATTTATTGAAAAGATGATCTGCCCACTTACCTGCTCATTTGTGGCCTTGGCGTCGAGGGGATCGGGCAGCACAGAGACATCCTTCACCTGATTACCGGCTATGAACGATAAGTCGCTGGTGCTGGATGCTGTGGACGGTATACATACATATAGATATATATAGAGATAGATATACTTAAATATGAATTTGAATTTAATTCAAGACAAAACCCATGCACAGTTAATGGCAAGCCAAGCAGCATTGTCAATCATTAAATCATAAACAATATCATAAAGAACACAGTTTTATGCTATTTGCTGTTGCCCATTCTCGAATTTGCACAATTTATTTTCAAATTGGGAAATGGTATGCAAAACAATGCTTAAAACATGCACGTGCTCTGCCGCCCAGCTCCGCTGACCCGCCCTGGCCCCTACGGAACCTGCGGCCTTGTAACGACTCCACATGTAGTCTGCACATTTTCGGGTTCGTGCTTTTAGGGAACATTGTATAAATTTAAATTCAAATTTACGGGTTTTTCTTAATTTGGGAGCAACAAATTGCCGAAAGGGTTTTGTCACAGCTGGCAGCCTCTAAAGTCCTCCACCTTGCTTGAATTAGTCGCCACTTGCTCAATCTTGATATAGAGTAGTTTTCAGTTAGTTATGAATTAGTTGCATGCGACAATGGCAATTAATTAGCTGGCAATAAAACGTGGCCTAATTAAGGGCAAGGCCAAAAGTTATGGTTTTATGCATGCACGGTGCGGAATGCGGAATAGAGGGGTAGAGGTAAAGTTGGCTCGAACATATACATATTTACCTAGTGGCAGTGACCCTACAATAACTTAACTTCACATTCCAATCAATTACCTTAAGACACGTAAAATTGATCTTACACTCAACTTCACCTGGCCAAGAGCGTATTCTACTTAGACTTTGCTTGAAACGCACTACGAAAAAGAAACAGAAACAGAAACGGAAACGGAAACGGAAATTGGAATGGGAACAGGAAAGGCACACGCAAATCAACGTGAGTTGTTATAGTATTCAAAAACCAGAAGAAAACAAAACTAAGAAGAAATTTTGATCCTTAAAAGACTCACGCAGCTGATACTTACTTTTGACATACTTCAGGCCATTGTCAGTGGGTGCCAATTTGTTGGCGGCATCTAAAAGTTTGTGGTTACAGTTTGTGGTGCATTGATAAATTGTGGTTTTATATAAAATTAATTAGTGTGCACAGGTGCGCATTTGGTTTTTGTGTGTTTGTTGAAGTCCATGCAAAAATAATTAAAAGTTTCAGCATTAATAAGTGGCCCACTTCTAGCTGGACCGCACCGTAAACAACTTACCTTGCGATACATTGCGACTCAATGAGTCCACGCTGCCACTGAGGCCATGTCGCGGAATATGCTCGCTAGCCTGCAGATCGTTGGAGCTTTCGTTGGGCTGCAGCGTGCGCGGCACATCCAGAGTGCAGTTGGCTGTGGTCCAACCGCCTTCCGGTGAGCCCAGCAGCTGCGAGCAGTCCAGGCCCTGGGGCACACGCAATATGGCCACGGAGAGATACATATCTAGGGCCTGTTAGAGAAATGGCAGAAGAATTTATTGCAAGCTCCAACATTGCCAGCTGCCACCCACCTTGTGCATAACATTGAAATATTGCACCAGCTCCTTGCGCTCGCACGTCTGCCAGTCGGTTTTGTAGCCCATAAGTATGATGTTGGGCTTTAGCTTGCCAATCCCCGTAGCCTGCATAAGGGCACGCGTACCTGCCTCAAAGTCCTCGCCATCGACCAGTGCATAGAAGCCCCTAACGTGATGCTTCTGGAACCAGATAGAGGCACGTTCCTTGAGGTAATTACGATACTTCTGCGAACCGGAACCACGCAGCACATGGCCACAAACAAGCAGCGAGAGATTCTTTGTCAACATATAGGCGAAATCGACCAAAACGGGACGCGTATTGGGCAGCCCAGACAGGACAAGTATCTGCGGGCGATAGTTCTTGACATGATCCTCCACATTGTTCAGCTGCTGCACGGACATCAGCGCGTTCTTGTAGGTCTGCGCCTGTGTGGTGGAGCCCCAGTTGACGTCCGGCTTGCGATAGGCGACAATTAAGTACAGTGCCAACACCACGCAGAAGGTGATGAGTGCAGTGGCCCACGAAATCAAAAACATGACCGCAACGCAGAGTATGGCGCCCACAAGACTCAGCCACATGTTATAATACTGAAGATGAAAGGAATTATTCCAGTTAAAGGAAGGAGAGGGAGGATGCTTACCTTGAACGTGGGCCGCCAGCCCACAGGCTTGGCCAGGCTAGCATGGAATGTGCTAAAGTTGATTAACATATATGCGGCCAGGAAGAAATTCGAGATGAGCGGTGCAATCGAGTTGAGGTCCCCCACAAGTATAAAGCTACAACAATCAAGAATATATTTGCATATGCATTATACTCGCCTATGCTTTCTCTGGCAAATGAATAACTTACAACATGGATATGAAGAAGGTCAGTACATAGCCACGCACTGGCTCATTGTTCTTGCCGTAGCCCTTAGCAAACCAAACAATTTTCGGGTAGAGCTCATCCTTGCACAAAGCCTATCAACGGTTGCAAAATGTCAAAGGTATCACTGATCTTCCGAATTTGGAATTTGGCTTACCTGAAAAACCTTGGGGGCGGACACCAAGCTGGCCAAAGCCGATGACAATGTCGCAGCAAAGCAGCCGGCATAGATGAGTGGACCAAAGCCAGACACCAATTCAATTACCTGAAACGAGTTTTGCAGTCCATACAGGCATGTACCAGTGGATGCTGAACAACATTTAATTAGAAGGCATATTCAAACGGAAGTGCAAATGCAGTGTTGCCTACTTGACGAGCAGTTTAGAAATTCGAAGGAGCCGTTTATCGCATCCACCACGTAGCCGGTGGCATCTCGAGCCACAGTGCCGCCACAGATCAGCACCATCAGCAGATATGTGCCTGTTGTGATAGCAATGGCCAGAATTGTGCCCTTGGGTATAGACTTTTGAGGGTCCTAAAAGACAAAGCAATCGTAAATGGCTAATAAATTGTTTAGGACGCAACTGTGACGCACCTTCAAGTCGCCCGAAATGTTGGCGCCCGCCAAAATGCCCGTGGCAGCGGGGAAGAAGATGGCAAAAACTGAGAAGAAGTCGTGACTGACATAGCCCTCCTGGCGGTAGTTCGGAAACAGATTTGTATGGAATAGCGTGGCTGCATTCAATTTGATTAAAAGCCTGTTCAATGGCGCCGCATTGGCTGGCACTCACCATTATAGCCGATAAAGCCCTTGGCCCGCTCACCCTCGCTCTTGGGTCCAATGAAGCTGCCAATGATGAAGTCAGCGATAGCTGCCAGCAGAATGAAAAGCAGGCCGATTTGCGCCTGTCAAAGATACATGGGTTGGAGGAGGTGTGGTTAACAGCAGCGCAACTGAGGCGGAATTCATAAAGCATCAAAAAATTAATCATACGCACCTTGGCCTCCCACTCCATGCCGACACAAACGATAATGAGTAGCAGTAGTATGGTGGTGCCACCCACGATGCGCACATCCGTGACACCACCATCAACGATTTGCACATCCATGCCTGTCATCATGGCCTGCAAGGACTCACAAAAGCCCACCACGTACATGGCGCAGGCGACAACGTTAGCCAGCGAAAAAATGAGGCCAATCGAGCCACCAAACTCGGGGCCCAAGGAGCGGGATATCATGTAGTAGGTGCCACCTAAACAGGCGGGCGTATTAAAAACCATTTAAAACAACAGCCAAGTAACCGCCTGGCACTGACATAGGACTCACCTCCTTTGATGACGCCGTTGGTGCTTATCGCTGACATTGACAACGCCGTAATGGTCGTGACAGCGGTCGTTGTCAATATTAATACGAATCCCTCGATGATGCCCGCCTGCCCCACCACCCAGCTGAGGCGCAAAAATAGCATCACACCCCATATGTTTAGCAGGCAGCGTATGAGTACACCTTTGATCCAACCAAATTTTAGAACGCCATTCGTGTTGCCCGACTCCAGATCCCGATTACGTTGCAGGCTGTGCGGGTTCTGCAAGTGAAAACCAAAGTCATTTTCAATAAAGCTATCTACGATTGATAGATGATGCCCCACGGCCCCAATATGAATACGCCAGGGTTATACTTTAAAAGCTCCAAAGGTACAAAGATACAAAGCTGCTCAACAAATTAATCATACGCCAGCGCAACTGCAGCAGCATGTGATGCATAATTTAACATTTAATCTCTGACTGAGCATTTAATGCCCTTTGAAAGCCTTTCAAGGATATATTTATAACCTTTGATGTAACACGCTTCTATCAAAGTCCATGGAATCGAAAACAATTGCACAAATTTCTAGCCTATTGACAATTGTGTTTTCTTTCTTTCTTAAATCAATTGACACCCACCACAACGCGAGTGCAAAATCAATTAGTGGCAATTGATTGCATTAGAAATTGTGTTTGCGTTGCCTGCGCTTGCCCACACACTCGCACAATGGGAAACTCATAAAGGCAACGTGAAAGTCAATTGAAAAGTCAGCGGCCCCGAAAGTAACGCAAGCGTGGGTGAAAATGTCAGAGCCAAAATGAAAATTATAAATAAATAAAGGAAGAAAAAAGCAAGCCAAGCTTCATTTGGCTTGCATTTAATTAAAGCAAACATTGCTGCATTTGAGGTGGCTTAAATGATTTTCAGTGGCTGCAGCGGTATTTTACAATATTATCGCCAATTTTCAACTGTTTAACGAGCACGCGCCAGAGCTGAACGTTCCTCGAACTCTGGCGCTATGCTAATGACCCCAACTGTTGACTTCGCAAATGCCTCGCTGCGACTGAGTTTTCAATTTGAACTGTTAAAAGACGTAGTGTAAGAAGAAGCGAACACAGTGCCACAAGCTACTTGACACTTCACCAAGCCAGCGTCAATTTGCAGTGTCAAATACAGGAGCTGACAATGACTGTGACTTTTCCGTCTGGTTGCCAGGCCGTTGGCTGGTCTTGAATTTCCCACGAATTGATTTAAATTTAAACTGGGCCCAGGCACACGTAAGTGATGGCAATCGATTTATGTGCGACCCTTTACCAATAATATTAATTGATATGTCAAGCGGAAGAGACTTCAGAGGATACTCACTTTGCCCACCAGCGTTGCATTGTGCAGCTCGTCGAGCGTTGGACGGTAGGCGGCCTGTATGGACATCATGTTGCGATAATTATCCAGGCGTGGCAAGGCCTCACGTGTAAAGTGCCTGTGAAATTATCGCATTAACTTAAGTTGAATTGGCCATACGAGCTATTAACAGCGTTAACTAACCGAAAACTTTTGCCATATTTTGTATCGTACTCATTGTCCAGTAATTCGCGTTCCTCCAGCGAATCATTTGAGCCGTCCGATTCCTCATTTTGTGGTTCAACTTGAAAACGCGTCGTTGTCTGTAAATCCTTAAAGCGGGAGGGCTTGTCCTTATCGCGAAAACTACTCTTGATGGATTGCCTGCAAGACGAGAAAAAAAAGTCAGCTTTAAAAAAGATTCAAAAGGGTCTCTGTTCATCTCGCCATGACTAATGTACAGCAGCTATCATTTAACCAAAAACAAAATAATTTCGAGCAACAAGAGGAGGTCTGCCAGTTGCCCCATTCCAATTAGAATGGGAAATTGAATCCAATTTGACGAGCAGCATATTCCTTACGTTTGCTGAGTTTTACTTCATTTACAGCTCAATTTTCAAATTTAAGCCAAATACATTTTATTACATGCCATTTTAACTCGTTGGACAAAAGACCAATTGTTGTATTTGCGGTTCTTTGTGCTGAGCTGTGCTAAGGTGTGCAGGATGTATATATTAGTATGCGTGTGTGTGGATGTGTGTGTGGGTGGGCTACACACAGCCGCAGGACATAGCCACACAAGCAGACACAAGTTCAAGCTGGCTTAGTAGATTATTATGCTCATTGGTTGTTGTTGTTGTTGTTTGCGTGTGATGATGCGATGCATGACTGGCTGACTAAACCCCTGATGAATTTTGCTTGTTGTGCACTCATGTGGCTTGAACAATTGACTTTAACCAGCCGCCTGGAGGTATTCTAGATCCGAATGCTGCCTTCATCTGTATACTCAAACTTGTATACGAGAGTGCCTTAATAAAAAGTGCCTGACCAGCAGATATGCCGTGTCCTGCTGTACATTCGCACTTAATCAAACATATTTATAGTAGGAAGTGAGGGCAAAGAAACGAAAAGAGAGCAAGCCCCTTCAATTGTACCTTTCTATGTGATCCTCATGAATTCAATTAATTCCTTAAGCCTTTGATGTCGTTTAAGAGATTAAGAGAAAGAAATTAAAAGGGGCAAACAGGATATTATTTCTACTGCTGTCTGTTTTACATAACATAAATTTGCTTTGAGTACAGGGTATGGATGAGTCTATTGAAAGCCGCAAGCAAGGCATGTGTACGTCCATGCAAAAATTTTATTGTTGACTAGTTTACCAGCTCATCGTATTTCAGCATCTATTTCTATTTGCAGCTGAAAATAAATTTTAGCCAATTTTTCGAAATTCCAAAATTTAATAATTAGTTTAAAAGCTCAATTTGTATAAAATGTGCTCTAGCGGCATTACATGATTTAAACGAGCTTGAGCTTAAGCATAAATTAATTAATTAATATTTAATTTATACAGTTAAGTTGGCATTTGAAATGATTGCTAAAGAACCCTTATAATGTAATGTCAAGTGGCAATTAGAGAAATAATGTTTACTCTTTTAAATTCATTCGCACATAAAATTGGCAATAAATAATGCAAATGGGCAAAAGTAGGCTCATTTTATGGAATTTTGGTTACATTTGATAATTTACGGCCCGAACAGCAAACCAAGAGCAGACTAATAAAATGGAAATGTCGGCACTGGTCCGTGGTTGTGATTAACAGTTGTGACCTCTGCAAAGGGCCAACAAAAACTCCAATTGAACTAGCTGTGGGCTATGCAAATGGGGTTCCAGTTGCTCGTTCTCCCGACTGCATTCATCGCATGCCAACACAAATGATTGTTTATTTCTTTTGCTGTGATTGGTTCTACTCCTGCCTGCTGTTGCACTAAGTCCCTTTTCAATTGGGGTTCCTTCATTCGGAGCTGCGAGCACGTTAAGACAAGGAATGTTTGTTGAACTTGCCAATTTAGGGGCAACAAGCCAGGTCGACAAACTTTCAAGTAATTTGATAGATGCATCAAGTTCAAAAGAAAGCCAATGGCCAGGCGACTAAGCTGAATATTTGTTTTTGTTTTTTTTTTTATCAATTTACGTGCAGTCTAAAGAAAATCAAGTTCAATTGACTAAACATTGATGCGACCCTTTTACAAGTAGGTTTTTAAATTTTGGAATTTCGCTAATACTTTTACTCGAAATAATTGCAAGCAGCTGAGATGTAAGGAATTCTATTTCTTTCGAAAATGTTCGTATTTCGTGTCGCGCAAGAAAACAGGATACGAAATACTTTTAGTATACATTTAGTTCCAATAAATATTCAGAAAGATCTTTAAACCAACTTATATCATAAATTCATATGCTCATGCCTAATGCTCCTGCTACTCGAATAAATGTTTAGCAATTGATGGTAATTACCGAGTCTTAAATGCATCTTACCGTCCATTTATTCGGTAACTCGCATTTGCACAATTACGCCATATCCTTTTGCCCATATGTACCATGTGATTAAACGGACATAAGTATGACAAAATATCCCATTCATGGAATTGATAATAAGGTCAAAACAAGAAGGCAGCACGGAAAACAAACGGCGAATAAGTAAAAGCACAACGTTAAGCAGAAAATGGACAAATTTAAAAAGTTTGCAGCCATTCAAAAATGTTAGATGGTGGCTGAAGAGGGAGGGGGATAAGGTGGGGCGAGGGTGGCTTACCTCTGCTGCCTGGGCTGTTGTTTGTTGAGCAACTGTGTCGCATCGAAAGTGTCGTCCTCGAGGAGCTCTCCATCAATGTTGGTCAGCCGACGGTAGACCTCGTCGGCCGGAGGTGCGTGTGATTTGCGGTCCTCATTGTCGTTGTTGTTCTTGTGATGGTTAACAGGATTCACTTGGAAGCGGTTAGGTCGATCGACCGAGCCCATCTCAAACGATATTGTGTCCGACATGTCTCTTGTCTGTGTGTGCCGCTTGGGTCGCTGCGACTCTTGAAAAAAGTTTGGGCGGTCTGTTTTGGGTTTCTGTGGTTAGCTAATGCCACAAGTTTTTTTTTTTGGGCGGGTCCTTTGTCTTAACTCACTCCACCTCAGCTAAATGAATTCCTTCGTTGTGTGCTTTATACCAAGGAAGGCAATTGGGCTTCGTTGTCTGTATTCATCCAATTTATGTGCGAGAAATATTTTCCAGCTGTAGCGCGAATATTTTCCTGCAAATATGCTACAAATAATTCCATAAAAAAATAGAAAGTGTATGTGATTTGCTGCTGACATGACAATTGGTATTTTAAATGTATATTGACAAGCAAAATATATCCTTATCTAAATATATATGTATGCATGAAATAGTATCTTTGAAATACACACAATTTAAATATTTTTTAAATGACAAACTATTCAAATACAGCTTTAGAAATACAGTTGAAGTCGCAAATAAATCCTCTTATAGACTTTCAATTCATATACCCTTGTCAAAACTGAAACCATGGATAAATACTTTTTCTGCTATGTAAATGGTTATTATTACTTTTTTTTTTAACGAGTGCGCTGTGGGTTCGTGTACAAATCGGTTGCTAAATATAGCATCGAGCAAATTGATGCAAATTAATCATGATTAGCGGTCTCTGTGATCCCAAGGGAAATGGTTGCCATGTGAGTTAGCTCACCGTGGCACACCTGGCGTATGCGCGATGAATTCGCAAGCAGGATATGAAGTGCCAGGCCCATAAGCAAACAAAAAAGAAAGGAATTACAGCAATTGATTGCCAAGCGGCGGCAATTTCTCACAGTCCTGAGACTCGTGAGCAGCAGTTGGCATTTATGGGTCAATGCAGGAGGTAAACAGAACGCGCAATTACGAAAAATCCACAATAGAAGAGTCAAACTGAAACAAGGCCTGAATGAGAGCGCGAGATAATTACGCCAATTATGCAATTTTTTGATGAAATATGTGGGAACTTTGCACTCGAGCCATGTGGAATTTGCACAAATTTATTGAAGCAATTAAGCGCTTAATTCAATGAGCCCAACGACACACAACTGAGCCTAGGCGGGGGCAGACGGGGCGACAAACGACAGCTGGCAGCCAGCAATCAGATGTCCACGCATCCAACAAGGCCGCCAAAGATCAGAAACTTTGCTAACGCTTATCGGCCAGCGACAGACACACGTTAAGAATACCTATACCTTGACCTACAGCCTTCAAAGGAGCCAGGTGGAACTTGATAAGCGCCAAGCTATGGGGTTAAAGGTTTTCGCAGCAGCTTGTCAAACAGCGTTGCCTAGTAATGAGCTCGGAGGCGTGGCAGCACGGATGGCGGCCACTTTTTGAAATGAAAATATTTTATAATGATGGCATTAAAAGGAGATTCATGATTTATGATGGCTCCGACTAAGTTTTGATTAATTGCGCCATAAACAAATTCATTTGCATTCTGTCACCGCATTCCAGGTGCCGTGTTTGGCATGCCATTGATATTTTTCCAGTCTGAAGTGGAGATGTTATAGACGCCAAGCTGGAATCGCTTGACAGCTGCTAAAAGGCATAACATAAACAACAAAGTAAAAGTTGTAAAAAACTTATCTGAGTAATTGTTGCCATTGTCCGAGCCACGAAGAGACGGCTGAGGCCCACCAGCTAGGCCCCTTTTTAATGACCCTACAATGAACCAATTGCTTCCGATGCTCATTTCGCGTTGCCTTGTTACGATTTCACGATTGTATTATTACTGTTCTTGTTCTTGTTGTTCTTCTCAAGCTTTTAACATTTTTTTTTTTTTTATTTTCTGATTGGACTATATGCCTATGCGTATTTAAGCGCTGCTACGCTTTCTTTTCATTGCCTAATTCAACGCCCATTCGCATTTCAATTGCCTCAATAAAACAAGATTTTTACTACTCTGGTGGTCTCTGCGTCACAATGAAACCCCTCTCTAGCCGACTGGAATGTACGCCCCAAAGCTGCCTGCTTAATGGGCATGAGATAAATTTAACTTTGCTCGTAAAGAGTTGCGATTTTCTCGAGGCTACCAGCATCAGAATTGCCTGTCAACGAATATTTCTGCGGAGCTAAAAATTGTTCTTACATGTCCTAACTTTTAAGGCATTTGATTCTTGGCGCTCAGCAGTACATTCGCACCATCAAAACAGTCAACAAAAGCTCTTAAATTGCAATTGCATATTTCTACCTTGACCGAGAAGCAGCCGTACATGTTCATATATTAAGCAAATACATATATATAAATTTTATTACCTGACCTCAATTACAAGACGATACAAAAAGTAAGGCAACAATGAAATATGGTGACGCCGAATTTAAGAGCTGCCATTGCTGAGGCAGCAGCTCTTAATGACAAAACATCATCACAATGGCAAAATACGGACCATGGGCCATGGGTAAACGTGTATTGTGATTCCGTTTGAACGTGCCTTCCGTGTCGAGCGGCAAATTTGCGATGGCCAAAGTTTATGCCCTAATATTGATATCAATCGTTTTTATACTAGATGAGAAGCGATACATGTACAAATGGTAATCAGTAATATGGCACGCACAAAAAGAAAACTTTCGGACAGGAGCATGTTATCCAATGCCACGCCCACCCCAGCTATATGTTGCATGTATGTCGTTCATCAACACATGCGGCAATGTGGCCACATAAGCCACGTTATAAGGAAAGCAAGTGTGTGTGTTGCCCCGATGCACATCAAAGCTGATTAGAAGGCCGAATCCTGCGAACCTACATACGCAATGACAAGCTGGCAGCATGCCCAAAAAAAAGTGACAAAAACATACAACAAAAGTTAAACAAGTCAAGCGTGTGCTAACTTGGACGGTATTATTAGCAGGGTCAAGGCGTTGTCCAATAAACGTAATGCGTACAAGTGGAAAACTTTAATATTAAATAGAGCTAGCAAAAACCCAAACTAATGCACAAGGCTAAAGTTAAACTTATAAAATAAGAGGATCATTTGAAATACAATACGCTAATGAATACAAGGAGAAGAGTTCCTTAAGAAAATACGAGTTAAACAGTTGAATATGCTTAAAAGATAATTTAAGGGCCTTATAAGTAAATCTCCACATTTACCCTATCTAAGCCAGAATGATGAATATTGATTGCCGTACTCAAAAACTGCTTAATTGTCATATCAGTGCATGGCGAATGTTTGAGGAACTCACTTAGAGACTCCTGCAAATCTTAAGAAACTTTCGTAAAATCTTGGGTAACGCAAAAAAATACCCTGTAAACTTCGTTAATTGTAACAGAATATATCAATATTATTCAAGTATACCCTTATTGACTTCCCCATCAACAAATTCAAACTCTTCGCTCAACTAAGTTAAGTCTTAGCGTAACATAATCATTTAATTTCATCAATCTGTATCCAATCGAACATAATGAGTAAAGTTGAGCAGGTTTTTATTGAAGAATGGAAAACAGTTTTAATTAAACAGGTTTCGGTCCGAACCTGAGCCGCAACAAATATTTAATTGCATACCATCAGCGCCAAGCTCAAATTCTTTGCTGAAATCAAATTTTGGAAAAATTCCTATCGCACTTTAAGTATACATTATTTATTATTTATGTATAAGCAGCAATCAAATAAAGGTTTCACAGATTTTATTCAGTTTATTAACCTTTTTTATGGCCATCAAAGGTCTCAAAATTTCTGCTTCGTCAGTTCAAACACAATGAATAAATATGAGCGGAGGGAAATACATAAAAAGAGTTCTATTTTTGTTTTAAGTGGAATTTTTCTTAAAAGCGAAAAAAAAAACGAATAAATAACAAGTTTTGGGCAATTATTGTCTTAGACGATTTCTGAGTAGAATTGAAAGAATGGCTAACTAATGTCGGATAGTAGTAAAATTAGTTTTAGCTCTTTCAATAAGCGCAAAGCCATAAAAGCTAGCAACATTTTGGCCCATATCTTGTTCGTTGCCAACAAGTCAACAAAGTTTCGCCCCTTTTTTATGCCGCACATTTGTTTGCTTAAGTACGAGTATTTCATATTATTTTTCGGCTGTAAATTTGCATTGAAAAGTGCCATAAATATTATTTCGCGAGTTTTTATGTCGCCAACAGGAAACCTGCGAACAGCAACTCCGACTGAGGCCAGCCTGTGGAATTTCAAGTATATGCACATCCAAATATTTATATATAAGTATATATAGGTATTGTGTAGGTCTTTTGGGAAAGCTGGATTCCAATAAGCGATGTATATTTTTTTATGATTTAAAGTCGTAAATTTGTGGCAGCATATATTTACGACTCGAATGCCATTTGGTAAGTACCCGGGAGCCGGATGTCCCCGGATACGGCCTGTGCCGCTGTGTGGGTGTTTGCTGTGACTGCAGCTTTTATTTGCTTCATTTGCGGCAGCATAAATTAAGTGCAAAAATCTACAAAAACAAATATGTGTAGCCACACATAAGCAACACGAACGAACGAAACAATGCCGCTTGGCAGCATTAAAATCTCAATAAAACAGAAAGGAGCATAAGAAAAATTGTTTTGACGAAATCAATGCGAACGCCATTCGGACTGTTCCCTTTTATGATCACTTTCAATGCTTGGCAATAAATAAAGTTGCTGAGCCGAAATCATCATAAAAGAGAAGCGATTAAGCTGCGGCCCAAGCATTACATAATTTAAGAAACTAAAATTGTTACAAATAAAACTAAAACCAAATAAATTGTGTATACGCCACGTGTGGCTCGTCGTTCGACAATTCATATTCGTGCCGATTGACTTAAGGCTGAGCCGAGGTATGCGAATGTTAATGTAGCAAATGCTATCGACAATATTTTTATGACAGTTTTTTTTTTTTTTTTGCAACTAACAGGAAAGTCAATCATGTGAGAACCCAAAAAAAGTTAAGTTTAAAAGTCATTTCAAGCCCAGAAGCACTTTAAACAATTCTCCCGCAAATGGTAGCAAAAAGCTACATTTATGTATTTTCCGAATTCTTTAGAGTATTTACATTTGTGCGGCGCACGTAACACAACATATATGCATTTTTCCATGAACAATAAGTTGGAACAATCGAGTAAATTATATTTATTTAATTGATTGTTTTTTTTTTTCCACGAAACTCAACTTGAATTGAATCATGTACACAATAAGCTGTACTCCAGCAATTTTATTAATATTTGTTTAAAATTTAATTTAAAATTTTTCAAATATATGATAAATCAATATCTAGGCTTGCAGTCCAGATATATATTTATCAGATACACCAAGTTAAATTCTTCGACTTATTGCAAGTTCACGATCAATTTTCTTAACGTAATTAGAACATAACATTATATACTAATTACTTGCTAAATACTTTGGCTACAAATTTGGCCAATAATGGTAAATGGGAACCTATTTGAGGCACGCAACAAACATAATTTCGAGCGTGCAACAGTTAAGAACTTATTCATAATCATGCTCAGGCCAAAGGCCAACATTAAATGTTAGCTGGGTCATTTGCACGCGCTCCGAATTTCTTGTTAGTCTTTTCAACGAATTTTGCCTAAATAAAAGCTTAGTATTAAGAGATCTAATCAACAACTTTTCTAATATTGAAAAGATATTTGTCTAAGGCACATGGCGACAGCATCTACCAAAGGAAGAATTTATATAAAATATTGAAAGCTTTAACAAATTCGGAAAATTCAAAAATAATTACCAAGAATTATTAGTTAATACTTTCAAGCTAGTTCTGACAAATTGAACTGCTCTTCTCTTATGGAAATATTCAGGCATTCAGGCTTTGTTAATTAAAGAGTCATAGGTCACATAAATTTAAAATTGTACAGCTCAGTGCACAATTTGTGACCCACATCTTCAAGAATCGTGTACGTTGGCCCAATGTTGGGTCCACTGCACAAACTCATTATTAATTTTGAATGCGCTCATTTGAACTACTTATGAGTGGAAAAAGAGCTGGCAAATTTTGTTCGGGTTGTGTGAGGGCGTGTTTTTAATAAAGCTAAACATTTTTGGCCGCTGACCTTGTTAAAAAAAGAAACTTGCCCCCTTAATGAAACACAAGTTGAACCCGCACAAAAAACATACATCAAAGCACCAAGCTCTAATCTTGAAATGGGATGTGCAAATCTTTGTGGTCAGGTCTTGGGTTGAGCGGTTCCCTAATTCTACGAAAATTACGCGTATATTAATTAAAGTCGTATTCAATTAATAGCCGCTACCAGAAGATTTGCTTTAGAACGTCGAGCCGCGGCTTTGATTAGCGAAACACGAGCACAGTTTTTGCGGGTTTCTTTACGGTGGACCATTCTATCCCAGCCCACGCCTTTGGGCTCTGTATGTTCCGTCAATTGCCATAAATCTTGATTAAAAGCGGAAAATGCGGCGAAAAGGTGAAAATTGTGCGCGTTTCAGTAGGCGGGCGCGATTGCTATTTTCGTTGCTTGAAAGCTTTGCTTTGCATAATTTTCAAGTCGCTTTCCGAGCATTTCCGTTGTGACCCCATCCCCCCACCGCCCACCGCCCACAACGCGCCCAGCCCATTATTTGGCGATTGCAATCTGCTTTTTGCGCCCCGACTGTCGTGTATTCTGCGTTCTGTCAAAGTTCGCAAGGTCAATGATTTAATAGTTTAGTCGTCGGCTATGCATTGTCTCCGAGCATCAACATTCCTATGACTTTTCTTTGTGTGTGCTTTGCCCGTGTCATACACTGTCATTTCATATATATATATTATTTATTATCTGTTGCTGACATGAAAAGCCTTTGGTGCGCCCCAACGCTAGCGCCACTTGCCTTGCGAATTCTCAGCTATGTCGCCTATGTCTCCAGCCGGTTACTCAGAGTCAAAAGTCACAAGCTATCAGGATGCAGTTGGATTATTCTGTCAATGGGTCGTCGAATGCACCACCAAACGAATTCCGACTGGCGCTGAGAATGTGAAATCCAGGCTTCCAGTTGAATTTAACGCGTCGCCACATCGCACAATGGATAGCTTGCCACGTATTGCTTGCAAAAATCTCCAGCTGTTAAATGTTACATACAAGTAACAGATCATATAAGTATATATAAATTTCTGCATGAAAATAAAAATTCCTTTCAAAATGTTTCGAGATCTTTCTATTGATTCTTGGTCTGGCTTCTTCCACAGTGAGCCTACCCAGCGTTTCATAGGTAAACAAATTTTTACTGATGTGTGTAGGGTGCCACCCTTAAATGCAACCCCTTAAAAAAGTCAATCATACACATGCCGGCGTCTTTTTAGAGCATATTCAATATCACAGGGGTTGATTAAGTAAACAGCGCATGCGCAGCTCCTTGGACAGCAGATGCGGTCGTTGCCGGAAAGCTGATTGTCTGGAATCGAACTTTTTGTGTACTCTTCCCCGTGGCAGGTGTATGGCTTGGCGTCATCTGATATTTGGAAGCTTGTTTGTTCTTTAAATTATATACACTGACAGAAATTAGGGGTGATTTTGTAAAATTGACATATATACATACACAATACATTATTGCCTTACATAAGAACTGCATCGAAAAAAATAATGAATTTTATTTTTTTCAGAGCAGCAAACTAGTTCAAACCCAAACCGATCGATGCATTTATACCATATTTGGTGAATGCCAGTTTTGGGTGTAGATCGTATTTAGCCCGCATCTTGTATGTGAAAATATGTACGACTTGCAATATTTTCAGCTCAATTAGATTGGGCAATGGATTTTTTGAAAATCAAGGTTAGAATCAAAACCTGGTGCGAAATGAAATAAGCAGGCAATTGGCTCGAACCTTGAACATAATCATTGACCAAGTTTTAGTCTCGGCCTTGATTTTCATAGCTAATAAAGCAATAACACAATACTTATAGAGAACATAGGAAACATAGTGCACAGACAAGTTAATTTATCGAACGTTCATATCAGTTGATATCAAACGAAATTGTTTTATCTACACAACATTTTTTTTTTATCTATATCAGAATTATTTTATGAGCCATAATGGTACTGGAAGCCTTTTAGTTAATTTACCTACAACCATATCTTATATGCAGTACGTTAAAAGATATGACACTAGGTTTTCGGGTAGTGTCGGAATGTAACCAGACACGCGACCGCATGTGGCTGTTTACATTACTTTTTAAAAGTGCACAGAGGCACATGCGAGTCTGAGTCGAAAGTAAGTGGACACTAGATCATAATAGATATATATATATGTATATATATATATGCCAGTATGCAGCAAGTGACCGTAAACTGTGCCCGAATGCTCGTGTTATTCTAGACATTAGAAGCACTTAAATTCACGCCGATTAGTAAATACTCTGTCATGAACAAAGAGAACCACGGTCATCACACATTGCCCTGATTTATGCCACAAATCGACTTGAGTCAAAAGATGATCCGAAACTAAAAAATGCAAAACGAAAGAGACTGTGACTTGTGAAACGGCTCAAAAACCAGATCCACAAGAGAACAATTACAGCTCTCAAGTTCAAGTGCATTTAAACTAAGAGACACTTAAAGCAGAATAGAAAATTCGCCTATCTACTATAGAATACGTATAAGTATATCAACTGTGCACGGACTAAGTACATGAATAAACACATGCATAAGTATGCACATTTTCATGCGCAGACTTTCTTTTAAATGCTCACAGAATGTTGCTTTTGATAACAATGCTGAACTAAACGAACTTTTTCGGGTCGGGGTTGTATGCAAAAAAAAAAGTGTTTTGTTTGAGTAAATAAAGATTTTGTTTGTTTTCCTTTCAGACTAATCTGAAAAAGCTTAAGCATTCAATAGATAAACATTCTCAGTTCATTCTTCGCGCCGGATGCCAGACACATGACCAAAGTGTTCGAAAGTAAACATAATATAAATCGATACCAGCTAATTTTATTTTAATATTGCTTCAATTCAGAAACTTACCAATTGTTGACTGTGTTTTAAATCCAATTGAGAGAGATGTTTTTGTGTAGTTGATTCGAGGACGGCTAATTGTACCTTTCCATGCAGTTCATGTAATATTTGTTGTATCACTCGGCTAAAGACAGAGACAGAGAATTATGCAAACAACACGATGAGACAAAGCACAAAATCTGTAAACAAAACACAATTCAATACCAAGAAATTGCCATTATCAGCAGAAGGCAAGACACGACGGCACAAACATAATGACTAACAAAATAATTATGTATTTGTACAATACAAAATTGTACATAATCTTATTATATATTGTATGTATGTGCCAGTATATAAGTTTTTTGTACACGTGAATCTTTGAAATACGAAACAGCAAAAAGAAACGCCACAAACTTTGAAAATGCCGCGGCCGCACTTAAAATTTAAGTCATGCATTGTGAGGCTTTATGGCATTGCACTTTTGTTTTAGGTATCGCCTTCCCTTTTGGCAAATGCATTTTACACTAATTACGAATATTTGTTTTTTTTTTTAAGATAGCAGTTGGCTGGACTGCATAAAGCACACTTAAGAAACACAAACGAAACGACACCAGCCAGTCTGTGGTGCTCGTTTCGAATATAAATATCTAAGTACATCTGTACATTTGGTGTTTTTTTTGAACGCGTACACAACAATGGAAATGGCTGCTTTTTATGCAGCAAACCGAAAATAAAACGCTATATTTATATGATTTCTTATTCACTGAAAGATATTCAAATGTACCTCAAGTACATACGAGCCAGCGTGGCCACAAGCTAAGTATTTCAGATGGTCGCAACAGCGAAGCCAATCCAACCGCCGCACCGCACGTGCAGAGAGCCAAAGAGCAACTGAAACGAAATGTTCGCGCGATCGGCGGCAACAACTGATGAAAGCGGCGGACGGTACCATCCGAACAGACGAACCCGCGACCAATCGACGAACCCAGAAAAGTAAAACAAATACAACAACAGCAACAAAAACTAGCTTTAACAGGCAATCGCCCGCGGGCAAAGCTGTGACGTGATCGATGACAAATCGCTGAAGCGTGCAGCACAGAAAATTTCACTCAATCCGTGGTGGACACATGAGTGGCAAGTCTCGCTCTACAGCTTTCTATACAAAATATATAAGGATATATACACATATATACATATGCATGTACTTATGTGAGTATCTGCTCTCTGTCTACCCGTCTCTGCCAGCACTTTGATTCATATGTTTTTTGTGACTGCTCTTTAGGGTGGTTAGCATACTTTTATACTCTTGCGAGGATTCGTTTGCATTGTCGTTCCGTGTGCAGCGTTATATAAGTGGCATGTAAATATGCCTTAATGTACATAAAACTAAATATACGAGTATATTATGTCCTTGCATACAAACACAACCATTGAAAATGTATGTAAATCACTTGAGTCCTGTTTTAATAGCACCGAACAGCTTCGAATAGCGAACACAAAGTGTTCGTTTAAATATTTAAACAAATAATTGACTAGCTCGTTGCCGATAAGGCCTAAACTATTTTCATTAACTAAAATTGTACGCAATTTTATTGCGGCATTTAATGCAAATAAATATGCAATAGAACTTCAAGTGCTCGGCCTGTGCAGTACGGAAAAGTATCTGGAAATTGTTGGAAATTGTTGCAATTTGTTAACTGAAGTGGCTCAAAGCTTGCCCAATGCCCCTATTAAATAGATAAGCATAAAATATTGTTTATACAAGAGACAGACATTCCGAATCTAATTAAACTATACAATAAAATACAAATTGCTTAAGGCCTTGTTTGCTTTAGCTTTCGTTTTAGTCCAACGTAATTTGTAATTACTTTCAACACTTATCAATAAATAAATACAATATTTATTATTGAGGTGCCTCCGAGCTCACATCCCTTTAGGCAAGCGCATGACGTCAAAAAAAAACGTTTACTCAAGATTCTTAAAAAAATAAATAAATCAGCAGAAAAAATTGGTAATAAATCAAACTGAAATTATTTACACATATCTACACACATTACACATATACATTTAATGTTGAGCACAAGGCCCAACTGGTGCACGCATTTCTGTACGCATTCAACTCAAGAGATATGCGATAACATCCATCATACGTGAGTTCAAAGTGGAGCAACTACAAAGCTTGGCTATGCGCCAGCGGAACAGGCTAAGGATAAGAAAAATCCGTTATGCCTTTATACATTTTAGGTAATATAATTTTCAAAACTCCTGAGGTTATTTTGCAATTCACTGTGGCCAACAAAAGGGACCGGAATACATATGTAAACATACATCATGCAAATGCTTGAGTTTGTTGTGTTTGTACAAAGGAACAGAATTTCCGTATGTCACTAAAGCAAGCTCTTTCAGGACTTCAATTTGAAAAATGCTAATTAAATGTTAATGACCTTAAGGACCCCGAAAATCTTAAATGTGCTAGGAACAGCATTTGCTTAAGTTTGGAAGAGCGTCAACAAGCTTTTAAGATGTTGATTATTGGGATCATAAATCATATTATATATTACACATACGCTGCATGCCACACGAAAGACCTTATGACTTGACATTTGACTGTGGGTCTGTAGGCGCATTTGTGTTGTGGACACACACACGCATCAACAAACGTATGGCGTATAATTTAATTAGCTGGTGGCCTTTCAATTGCTTTCATTATAATTACATATATTTTATCAGCAGTCGCGGGCAACTATAGACGACAGCCGCAGCGGCCAAGATGTGGCTCATGTGCGGCGTTTGTCGGTTGTCAATAAGTCAAGTGATGTTAATTAATTGAGGGTGATAGTGAAACTGTCTCTCTCTCTCTCTTTCACTGCGTTCCAAAGTCAACCTGCTAGAAACAGTTAATAGTTAACGCGCTTACAATTAAGAATGACATATATCTCTACTCACATACATACGTTCTTATATAATGCAGCATTAATTCCACTCAAGCACATAATTAAATAACAATCCCAGCGCAAGCTAGTGTGCAGAAAAAATCTATGCCACAATATTAATTGTTTTCTGCGTAATCTATTTGGGCCTTGGCCTACAGACCCTATAATCGGAATCCAAGCACGGTCGCCTGGCAACATATAAGCTAATGATTCAATTATACATATGCTTTTCATTTTGAATAATTTACAAGCTATATCACGGCAACAAAGTTAGCCCAAGGAGACGTTTCATACAGTAACATTAATATTCATAAAGATATTCAACTCTTATGCAGCTGTTCAAAATATCTTTGTTTTTTGTATTGCTTGTGAATTGTTGAAATGATGCTTGGCAATTTTGTGCGCAATGCTGCCAGGCCGCACCAGCTGACGCTGCAGTGCATCTCCATAGAGTTTAACCAGCGATGGTTCATCTTCTACGGGCTCTAGATAAGCATTAAGCCCGCCAATTAACTGAAAAATACAACAGCATTTAGGACAACATTTAAAGTGAAACATTTTTTCTTTGCACATACCAAACTTTCGTCACAGTTTAAAAAGCGCATTGCCTGTACATGCTCGGACCAGATTCGGCGACGCCACTTATTATCATACTTTTGCGCCAGCGGGAGCAGCACTAATGAGCTAAACAGCTCGTCGCCATAGCTGGCCGCTTCAAAGTGGTTCACAAACAGATAGTAGAGTGGCTCGAAATTGGCTTTGTCCTCAAACGTAGCCTCAAAGTCGAAAAAGTGGTTTTTATTCCGCGAGTTGAAATCTAGCAGTTGCTTGTGAAGCAGCTTGTGTAGCTCTGGCTCCAGAAACTGACTGTCGGGACCCATAAAAGCTATCATCAGATACATTAACTTCTCGAGTGGGCTGACAATTTGTAAGCCCTGCTGCTCTAGCTGCTCTACAAAGCTGAAGGTCATGCGCACCAGCTGATTCTCTGTGGGTATTATATTAAATTTGATAAAAGTAAAAGAATAGAGACTTGTGAGACCACTTACCTGAATATATAACCGCAGGAGCCTGCTGCACATTTTGCAAGTAATTGTTAAGTAGCAGCCGCAGTTGAAAATACGGCCAATCTGGCATCAGCACAGGCGCTTGAGTATAGCAGAGCGTCAGCGTAGGATCCTTGTTGTCCTGCATAAATATAATTAAGGGTTAGTGAAGCATTCACATTCACAAAATCGTAACGTACAGCTATAAAATGTGAGTAAACAATTTCCATACAAGTTTCTTGTAGCAGCTGCAACGACTTTGAGTCCAACTCCACGTACTGTCCGCTAAAAATGTACCGATCGAATATGCTTTTCATTTGCTTGGCCTGCGCAGTACTTAAGGAGCACAAATAGTTATAGACCACCTGCAGCAGTTGAGTGCGTGTCAAGTAGGTTTCAAAGCCATCGGTACTGAGTAATTGATGGACAAGCTTCAGTTCGCTGCGAGCAAAAAAGTTGCTGGCCAGAAAGCGATTTAGCCGGGTGCTCAACTGCTTTAAATACTCTGCCAAGGGCTCAAGCACGGCAGGTTGTAGCAGAGCTTCAAAGAGTGGCTTCATACCATCCTCCAGCGGCGGTTCAAGCAAAGCCCAGATATTGCTCAACAACTGCACTGAATATGTATCGCTTACAATAAGCTGCGGCCCGTAGTCGTTCATCAAGACCGCCCCCACGTTTGGCAGCGGGCCATGCACATTGCGCCGATCACTGATGTTGCGCAAAATTATAGAGCTCAGGCTGTGAAAGGTTGAGAGGTATTCATTAAAACTGATTAACTAATTAAGAAAGCCTGTCAAGTATACTCACGCCAACTGTTGCACACATGCAATAAATCCAGCGGAGCAAACGAATTCCGGCAGAATTTTGCGCAGGAACTGTTGAAAGGACGCTACCCCGAGGTAGCCATGGCGTGAGAACCAACCCACAGCATAGAGCAAAGCACTTAAAAGGGTCAGTTGTGTGTACTGGAATGGTAATTATATTATAAAGGTACTTGAGGGCATCAATAATACTTCACTCACATCCTTGAGTCCCTCACCACGCGTCGCCTTGTGCAGCCAACTGCAGCAGCAGTTATGCAATGGCTCTAGTAATAGTTGTTGCGCTTCTATGTCGCATACACCGCACTCGCCACTGGCCACAATGGCAACCACCAGGGCAGCTGCGTGCTGTCGTATAAGCGCCGGACCGCCCACTTCGAATACGCAATGATTATAGTGCCAGTCAAGCGTCTGACGCAGAGCAGGTAGGAATTGCCTGTAAAAGCAGAATAATAGGAATTATTTCCGGCATTTGGCACCGCCAAAATAATTAGCTATATAAGTAAGCAACTGTCCAGACAGGGCTTAGTTAGTATTGAGCGCAACAGCTACTGGGTTGCAGTCCGACGCGGATAAGTTAAACAGCAATAAGCATTCGGGATTTAACAATGTACTCCAAGACCTTAGGCCTAACATTGGCATTACTCGTCTTATGCAGTGCCATAACGCCACATCAGGCAGTAAGTTCCTGTTGACATCAAGTTTATCGCCTATTTTTTTAATAAAAACTTTCATACAGTGGGAAATACCCGATGTGGTGAGGAAGCAGGTGAAAAAATTGCATGCGCGCTGCATAACCACAACTGGCGTCTCCGAAGGTGGGCTACAGGTGAAATACTAACTACAAAAAGTCTCCTATAAAGCATTTTTGACTTTGCAGAATTAGTGAGCCAGGCGCATAAGGGTGATTTGCCAAACGATCAAACCTTTAAATGCTTTCTGCACTGCATGTTTGAAATGGTTGGATTGGTATGTACAAAACACACACATACTTTTCGAAAATGTCATTTGATCTGCCAATTCTCACAGATCGACAGTGACAACGTTATGCACTTGGAATCTCTGGTTGATGTCTTGCCAGTGGAAATTCATTCAAAGATTTTGAATTTAGTAGATGCCTGTGGCACGAAAAGTGAGTATGGTAGCATATTAGCCCACCAGTCAATTTATAGCACACATCTATTATCTACTTGACTGCAGAGGGTGTTGACGGCTGCGACACCGCATATCAATCGGTTCAATGCTACATCAAAACGGATGGACCTTTCATCAAAGCCGCTGTTGATGATTTGCTCGGTTAATATAAAACTCACTTGAACAATTCACGATCTATAATTCCCAGCAGCAGCAGACAGCGTAAAATGCGCAGCGCTTCAATTTGAACACGAATTAATTTACCCTGCAACAAAAATGAAACATTACGAATAAACCGTTTAAAAACTAGCATATTGAAAACCCTACCCTTATATTGTCACGATAGTATAAAAAGTCTTTTAATCTCTGGATAAGCGTACCATCCGCCAACTGCTTAGCTATGTCCAAGTGCTGGCAGATCAACACACGCAGCAGCTTCAAGCACAGATACTGAGGATGGCCGTAGAATGAAGGCTGTGCTGTGCTGGAAGACGCTGAAAAATAAATGTATATTTACATTTCTAATAAAACTTATTGTTTATGCACTTACCTGACTGCGTTATATTGGGCATGAAGTTGAGCAAAATTACATTCATAAGTTGTTTTTCCTGAACCAATTGCCGGGCCACTTCCAAATTAGTGCGTGCGATGCGAATGAGCAGCTTTAGACAGGACTCGACTGTGCTGTTTTCAGGACGCACTGAGCTCAATATAAAGCTGTAATTAGTCAAAGAGGCTTTAGAAATTGGAACACACTCTAAATGAGACATACCTAATACGTTGTAAAATATTCGTTCGCATCAGGCAACTCATCAGATCCGTTTCGGCCAGCTGAAAATCATCCATGGACATACGGCCATCGCTTTCCGCCTGATCCTCATCAACATCGGCTCTTACAGCTTTAGAATTTGTGCGCAACAGTGTCATGTAACGTTGCAGAAAGGCTACCGATGTTGAATCGCTTGTGTCGTCGCCATCGGTCAGCACCTGCAGCGTTGGCTGCCAATGGCAATAGGCATTCTCATGGATATGATCCAGTAGAACTTCATCCGTTTCATTGTAGAACAGTCGAGCCAAAGCCCTGCTCACCACTTCTAGTTGAGCGGGTGTATTGTCATCCAGTCCAAAGCGCAGCAGAAAGAATATTTTGGAAATGGGCAGCGTAAGCACCTGGTCATAGAAGCCCTGATTATAAATGCTGAATATGCCAGCAATCGCGCCAAATGCAGAAATGCGTTGTTGCAAGACCGTTGAGCTGTAATTGAATAATTTGTTTTATATTATGTACAGTTGGTGCGGACATGCCAAACTTGCCGTGCCAAACGAAAGAGCTCCTGCAACGTGTAGCCCGGCCGCTCGGGTTCCTCACCATGCAAATACAATTCACGATCATCCACATTCTGTGGCAGTTCCTCAAGTGAGTGTGGCAACAAAACGCCCTTCCAATCGAAGCGAGCATTAAACTGTTGTCCAGGCTTAAGCTGTGCTATTCTCGCGGGTATATCACGCATCCAGGCCAACTTGTGCTCCTCAATCAAATTGAAATTTAACCAATTGCCCTCATCACTTTGCTGTAGCAGCTCGTGTGCTGGATTCGACTCGGTTAAAGTAGTTGACGCTGGCGAAAGCTGGTGCTTGGTGGGCAAGGGCTTAGGCGTAGTTGGATTAGCCTTTTGGCTTTGACGTTTTTTGACCAGCAGCTCAACCAAAGCAGGATCTTTTGGAGAAACACATTTCATTCATAAAATCTATTATCGTTTTATTCATATTTACCCAAAGAGCTCAGCAACTTTTGCCGCTCTGCCAGGATTTCCTCCTCGCGCATTTGGCTGAGTATATTCAGGTTTTCGGCGTGAATTTCGTTGGACAGTTTCGCATCTTGGACAATAGCGCTGGCTACTGGCAGTGTCTTATCATGATTATTACTTTGTAAATCATTTTGGCTGCTTACATTCAACTTTTGATTTGCATTGAATTTTTGTGCAAAAATACTTTTCGACCTGTTGCCTTTCTGCTACAAAGGAGTTTGATTAAATTTAAGCATACAAGTTGTTTAAATTAGCGCTTACTTGATTTAGCTGCTGTTCCTTAACCGCTTGCCGCGGCAGTCCTTCTCTTCTTTCAACAATGTCACCAACTACATTATTTATCAGATCGAAATCTACTTTGCTACCGCGCACATCACCCAGCATATTCTCGTGTATTTCATCGAGCAGTATTTGTTTACTTTTAACATCTTCCAGTTTTTTATCATGTGCTACACTTTCCGGGGCGATTGTTGAAACCCCTTGGGTCTTGAGTTTATTAAGCTCTCGCTTTTGTGCAAACAATGATTTTCCGGCCGCTTTTATTGAATTAAAATGTGTTCATATATATTTTACTTAGAGCACATTGCAGACTCACGCTTTTCCACTCGTACAACTGTGGCCGCAGGTTGGAAACTCGGGTTTTTCTGACGCTCAGCATTGAATTCTGCGGCCATACGCAGAACATCCTCTTCGCTTTCTCCAGGTTTTAGTTTTTTAAACATTTTCCGCCTTTTATCAATCCACAAACACCGCGCAAGCCGAAAAGCCGAAATAAATCAGCTGGCTGGAAAGACAATAGAGATGGGCGATAGCCAGCTAGCAGTGAGCAAAGTACTACAAAATAATCGATAACATCGCCTCAGAACATGTGGCTGATAAATAACATTAACATATTAACATAGCATTTTAAAAATACTGCTAAGAACTTTAACATTTGGAATTAGTATTACCATTTTATACGATTTCAGCTGTAAATAACATTGTATTCAATTTTAAGTTTGTTATATCGATAAGCAATTAATCGGAGACCATAAGCTGGAACGTTTTCCAACACTGATTCTCACTCCTGCGCTCAAATTTAATATTTAATATTTTATCCGTTAAATGTTCACTTTCAAGTGATTTCCATTGACCAAAATTGCTGCAAATTTGTGAAAATAATAAATTTATCTAAATACTCGCAAATTAAACTTATAGATTTCAAACAGTAAATAAAAAGCAATACAAAAATTACTTCTTGAACGTAGTACCCGTATTGGCCATACACTTAAGCAGAGCCTGCTGTGCAATCAGGGTATCCTTGTGTGGAAGTGCAGCAATTTGGAAGAATGCATCGATGCCCTCCTTGAAAAGCTCAATTGCCTCATTTGTCTTCTGTGCTTGCATGGCCTCTGCAGCCTCTCGGTAAAGTTCCTCTATTTTAATAAGCTTTGCGACACTCTCCTTTAACGAAACATTCTTGCGACAGCGAGGACAGCGCACGTCCTTTGCCAGATCCTTGGGAAACTTAAGCAAATTTACGCAATTTGCCGAGGTGCACCTAAAATTAACAAGGAGTTATAACACCTTGATGGATGTATAGTTAAAAAAACACACCAGAATCGGACTTGCTTGTCGATCTTCTGCAGCAAGGGCCAATTTTCCTGGCAAGTCAGACAATTACAACTGAAGGCGTAGCGACCGCGCAATGTTCGCTGACGCTCCTTTAGATTCATCTTGGTAAATATGGGCCCATAATTTACAGCGACTATCTCGTTGGGTCGATGTGGCTTGGTAGCAGACATGACCAACTTTTTGCCCACATAATAGCCAGCTACGCTGGGCCAGCATTCGTGATTGAAGTAGGAACCGGTGCCATATAATCCTGCGCCTACATAAACCACCTTGCAGCCGTCAAAGCAGTGCTCATCGGTCACCATGGTGTGATAGATCTCGTGTGCATTGTATTGCAGAACTTGCAGTAGTCCGAGCAGGGCTGTGGCCACCTGCAACTCCACAGCGGTGGGATTTACGCCTTCGGTCTTGCGTCGCCCAAAGTACAAAGCCTTCTGTAGAATGCGCATTAGAAAGCCGGCCATTAGGGAACGCTGCAGATAGTCGTCCGCCTCGCGAACATCCTGATGAGAGCACAAATGCTCGAACAGCAAATTAGCCGTTGTCAGACCATCCTCCAAGCTGGCTGCCTGGGTAAAGACTCGCAAAGCCACAAAGCACAGTATAGACATGCCAGAGCCAATGAACAGATCCATAAACTGGCACTCGAAACGATGATAAGTCTCGCAAGCCTCGCCCATGCATTGGGCGGAGCAGAAGGCAATGCCCGAGCAATGCAGACACGGAACTGGGATGTGCAGCCTGGAGAAATCAGCCGGATTAATCGAATGATCCAATTATATCAACAATAAACTCACCGCTTGAAGCAATGGTGGCAATTGGTGCCGAAAAAGTTGGGCAATAGACACGCCGCCACGGGATTCTCACAGAGCACCACATCGCCGGTCTTCAAACCCTCGTTGGCCACCACAAAGCGTCCCTTCTCCTTTGTCTCCACGAGCTTAACCACATTCGCAGCACCGCTTAGCGCTGGATTCTCGCCATGCGCCAATGCCGGCGCCAGCTCGTTGGCCTGCTCCCGCTTGGCTGGCTTGATCTGAGCAATCTCCTTGCGGGAGGCTGCGATTATGGCTGTGTTCGGCCCCGCCAGCTTTTCAGCAATCTTCAGAGAGATCTCAGCGCGTGCGCTTTCGGCCATAGCTGTGGAAATAAATAAATAAATAAATAAATTCATTTAATTATGTGCCCCAGTAACTTGCCTGCGTAAGCCTTGGCCATTTTGCAGTAGTAGTCCACGTTTTGCTTCGACTCCAGTCCAAAATTAGCCGCCAGCTTGAGATCACTTAACGCTGCCTCGCCTTCGCCCAGACCAATCAGAATGTTGGCACGCGTCAGATAGGCCATGGCCAGGGTAAGGCCATTGTCAACGCTCGTGTCCAAATGTGGAGCAGGTGCCCGCATTACGGCCAGATTGGCATGCATCAAAGCCTGCTGCAGCAATTCTGTGCGATCCTGCTCAACCTCAGCGGTGCTGCTCATCAGATAAAACTTATCGGCCTGAGCACGGCGCTGTGTCGAGAGGAGTACGTCTTTCTGCTTATATACCGGCTGCACATGCTCCAAGACGCCGAGCACCGGATCACAGATCTCGCGATCACTGAATATGGAGAGAATGCGAGCTGCATTTGATTTCAGTTTTCCAAAATAGTTTTGCAGCCACTTGTCGCCACATGCATCTCGCACATCCAAATAGAACTCGTTAAAGAAACCCTTCTTATCGGACTGCACGGTGCGCGTAGAGCAGATCTTCTGATAGTCCGGATCGTACTCCATATTTAACATAACTTTCCAACTTGAATTATATAAAAATGCAATATGATTTTTTTCGTTGCAATGGCCGCTGAAAATCGACGACACGTCTCGTTTTCCGTTTAGTTGAGTATTGGAAACAGCTGGCGGGCGGATACCCTCCAAAAATAGCCCCGAACTTTCAGTTCGGCGCGTTATAAATAATTGCGTCCGATTCGCATTTGAACTAGTCGTAGTTCATTTTCACCTCGTTTGAATGCGGTCCGCCTCAGTTGCGCCAGTTCGCCGCCAGAGATCGCCACATTGTGCTGATGATGCTATTCAGATGTTGCGCATACGCCACATAGTCTCTAATATTGCAGAAATTATTACGCTAGGGATTATGCTTTGCATTTATTATATATCGTTTATATTTGTAACTTGAGTAGAGCATGTAAATCACATTAAATAATGTTTGTTTTAAAAATTAGCTAAACGTACAAAAATATAACAATATATAAATATATGTTTATATATGCAGGCATGTACCATATATGCAGCTATATACGTATATTTAATTGTTTATGTTGAATTTCTTGACTTGAAACATTCAATTAAGTTATTTAATGGAATATCAATTTACTTGTATTTATAAAATTTCAAACATACATAGATTTATGTTTCTAAGCGTTTAATCTGCAACTATATATTTGGAAAGACAAAAAGGCGTTACGATAGATATTTTTTGGAATTATGTCTAACATTTGCTATCTAACGAAAAAAAAACCGTATTGAGCATATTACTTTGATTATATTTTTTAAAGAGAATCAAAATTTAACCTTTTAAAATGACTAGATCGGTATTTATTGTTCTAATACCAATTGGATAAATATTTATATGCATGCTGATCGATAACCAAAAAAAATTGCTTTTGTAGTTTAAAGTTTGTATTTATTTGTTTGTTTTAAATAATGCATATGAACTTGTCCTTGATTTCCAAGGGTGAGTGTTAATTAAATAGATGAAAATGTTGGGATTTTGTAGAACATGATTTTCCAGTTACATTTCACAAAAATGCGCAATTAAAAAAGATAATGCACAATATGTAGTACTATTTTCACTAAAAATGTACAAAAAAAAAGGTTCAATTGACTAATTAAGTGTAAGGTAAAAAAAATAAGACAGAAATGTTGTAACTTTTAGTTTTCGTTTTTAACAGTTACTTTTTGCTTTTTACAAATTTCAAAAGTTAAACTCATTTTTTTTTTGTTGAGGTTTGTGATACACATAATATATATATATATAAAATAAATATAATTTTGTTTGTTAGCTTTAGTCACAATTAATCTCGTTGGCTTCACTTGCTCTTCACAAAATACAATCTAAGAAAAAATGTCACTAAACTTAACAAATAAAATGCTACAAAATTTCAGCCTCGCCGTCGAACAAAACTGCGACCGATTAGAAGCGCATAGGTTGGTACTTGTATTATTATATGTATGTATGTATGTAGGTATGTATATTATTAACTATTATCATCACATTTCAAACGTTAAGTATTAATTGTTATTTCTGTAATTTTATGCTAAACAAATACGAGTAGTTTATGTCTTTTGTGTACAAGCTTAAAACGCTCCTAAGTATTCATTCATTTGATTTTCCACACTCTTTTTTTTTTTTTGTTATATTTTTATCGCTCACTTTATTTTCTTTTAGTTATATCGCCTGTCCCAGCTTAAGCACTTGGACGCGGTAAAACCTTGTAGCTTATTATAGTTGTCTAGACACTCCACAATTTCAGAGTTTGCAGAGATAAAATGCTTGAAGTTGAATTTAACCATTTTGTTGCGTTGCGGTTAGTTTCATCAGCATCTCTTGCAGCTGCACGATTCGTTTTCATTATTCTTTTTTGGTATTTATAGACATAGCACTGCGACCACGCGACTTATTTAAAACATACTGCTCTGACATAATCTACCTGCTTTTGTGTTTGTTTCAATAAATTAGCACTTAAAGTTACAACGGCTTGAGCCTACTGCGATTGTAGGATAAGTTAAGAAACTTGGGTATTTGATCGCGCCCTGCTCCACATGCCTAAAATTTCACATATTCCATATTTATAAATAAATTAGCCATAGTATCACTTATTTTGTATTTTTAGAAAGTAACCAAAACTAATTTAACTATAAATTATATAGAAATATACACCAAGAGCATGGAAGAGGCTTGTTCTACACTTAAGGAAAGCATCTAATCATTTGTCTTAAAAAGAAGAGTCTGTCAATGCAGCAGAGAGCGAATGGCGGGCACGCCATATCTTACATCTACCACTACTACTATACAAAATGGAGCACTGCACTAGAGCCATCCGCACTCGCACGGCATAGCACCATCCGCACTGCAGACGGCCACGCAGGAGATGAGGAGGGGGTAAACAAATCACGACATCTTGATGCCCAGCGCTCGACTTGTATATTCGTAGACAACGTAACTAATGGAAACGGCGGGCAGCACCTTCAGGAAATTTGGCGTTATGCCACGATACAGTCCCGTTAGGCCCTCCTGTCTCACAATCTTGCGGAACAATCCCGTCATTGTCTCCTCGCCGCTGTGCGCATCGCTGCTTTTCAATGGAATCTGTGTTTTTCGCGTCTGGCTAGAAATCGTCTCGGCGGCTAAACAAGCAGAATAATTTTTAATTAGAACCCGAAGCACACAATAAACAAATGTTGGAAACTCACCTTGTGCCTGTAGCCGCGTGCGCACTAGGGCCAGCGGGTAGGAGCACAGTTGACCAAGCGCGCTCGATGTACTGCCGCAGGCCAACAGCACCAAGAAGCTGGGCTGCTCATTGTTATCATGGCTAGCTATGTATCGGCGTTTGAGCGTCTCGTATACGGCCAGATCGATGCCGGCGTATGGCAATATGCCCAAAATGTTGGGCACGTATCCACGATAAAAGCTGCGCGCGCCTTCGTGTTTGTAGATTTTGGTCGCCGCATCGGCTATGCCTGCGTACTGACCGGTCTTGCGAAGGGCTAACCGCGTTTTTAATACTTCCATGGGATAGATGATGGTCTGCGAAATGCCTCCAGCCGCGGCACCCGCGTAGAAGCGCTCGACAATGGTCATTTGGCGTGTCGAGTCATTGCCACGTATCAGACGCTTCATTTGCTCATAGGCGGCAAATTTCAGCGCCGTTTCTGGTGCAATCTTCAGGACATTGATACCATTACCGCGCCACATGCTGCGCGAGCCACCTTCTTTAAGCAATATCTTCATACACTCTGAGATTCCCATTTTACACGTTTGCACCTGCGGGCAGAAGCGAAAGAATTCATGGAATTAATAACCATTGGAAGGGAGAGGTTTGCAGTGCGTTCATTACCTGCAAAAACACTTTAACTCTGTCCAGCGGAGCTGTGCACGTACGCGAAACTGCTCCAGCGATGCCACCGGCAACAAGGTGCCGCCACCAGAGACCTGTTTGCATTTCCTTCTGCGTAAAGTCATCAGGTACATTCATATCCTCGCCAATGTCGAGGTACTGTAACGGATCAAAACAACAAGAAATTAATAAAACGAAAATAAACATAATGCTTAGTCTAAGCCTTAACAAATATATATAAACTATTTATTATTGGACATGGAGGATTATGAAAGATACTGAATTTGTCTAGCTACAGGCATACAAATTAACCAAACTATGATTCAAGTCAGACCAATTGCGCTTCCGAGGGGTTTACTTTTCCGCCCAACAGTAACATCAACGACATCAGCCATCCTTGCACGCCCGCCTGTAAGTATTGCATTAGTTTTGGATCATGACCGGAATTATATGTAATGCAACATATGGCTGGCACACAAGATAATCCAAATAAGCTGTTACCCACGCGCATCTTCTCTTCGTATGCAGCAAAAGACAAAAACCAAGCCAAAAGCCAAACAAGAAATAAACACACACAATGCGGAAGAGAATCTCAATACGAATACGCAACTAGTTCTAAAATAAGAAAATTTTTGCAAAAGCAGCAAGAAAAAAATACAAACACGCGCCAAGCACTCCCCAACAACCCCTATGCGTTTTATTTTGCCAACCATACATATATGTTATATATATATATATATATATATATATATATATGTGTGTAGACATTTGTGTAATTGTATGTAATAGCAATTTGCGAGATTTGTGAGAGTCGTGAGTCTGAGACGTGCCCTCTTCGGTTACGAGAGGGCTTACGTAATGAGCTAATTTTGTTTTGTGTGTACCATATAGAACATTCATTTCGGAATATTTCCTAATATTTGCAAAGATTCCCTAGCTTTTGTATTTGCTGCGTAGCGCTGATAACAATTGCCTGATAAGCCGCCAGAGTTGAGCGAAATGTCAGCAAAGCCGTCTGAAGGTGATAAACATTGGCAAGTCTTGTGATCTTTAAGAGCTTTTCGAAATGAATATAAAAATTAAAAAAAACAAAGGAATGCTTGGAAACAATATTTTGACAATTTTCCCCTCCCAAAGCAAAGCCAATTCAAGGATAAAACAATTTAAGTAAAGTTCATTTGCCTTTTCAGCGCTAAAAACATGACTTCAATGACATATTTTGAATGACATCTAGTTCAAATATCACAAAAGGCCAACATCCAAAACAAAAGCTAAGAGTACTTAAATTCCGCGCTGCGCGGGCAAGCTCAACTATATAGCGCTTATATATAAAATTTAATTTTTTTTGCATGTACATTTAGTTATTATATATGTGCGAATGAATGCCAACCGAGGAGGATGTTTGCACAACAAATTCAAAAATTTCATTTTTCATGTTTAACATATTCTCACCCCAATGGAATATTTTTTTTACATTTTTCGGAACTGGACTTATAATTTATTTTTTTTGGTTTGTTTACCTTTGAAAATGATTTTCTTGATTTGGTAACCAGAATAAATAATATTTATATATATTTTTTTAATTGGTTGGTCATGCGGAAAATATTAAATTCATATATGCACAAGGTGGACATTGACTTGACTCTTAGAAAACTCAATATATATATATATTCCCAAACGTATTTTCATTAATTTTTTTTTTTGGCCAACGGAATCGTAGATATAGATATTGCGAGCACATGACAGTGAAAAGCTTTCTAGAAATTACGTCTATTTATATCAACGCCGAATTTTTATCGCTATCAAATTTTGAGGTCTCAATGAAGTACACGTATGTCTGTGTATAAATAAATATATATGAAAGGTGAATAGAGGCAGCCAAAGTTGGTTAATTCATAAAAGTTGCTGGCCCCGAGGGCCCGAACAAAAATTTACAACTCAACACAATGGGCCAGGTTAATACCGTGGAAAACCCACAGCCAAGGCTCAAGCAGTAACTAATGCAAGGCATGAAGGCAAACTGGGCCAAATGAAGGTGCAGCTTGAAACCGGATAAGTACGTTGGATCAGTTGACTCACAGGTTACTTTTGGAATGCGATCGAAGGGTAATTCAACGAACTTGGCTCGTGACGCCAACCGCAGACGTCAGCAAAGCTCAAGTGTAAACAACGCAATGAGAGATCAACAAGTTTACAAACAAATTGCTGTTTGCACATTTGACGTCATCAGCAAACACACCCCCACAGCCGCCCAGACAGCCATGACTCAGCCTCCATAACTAGCTGAAAGTTGGCCAAGAGCAAATCATCATGACGTCGCGGCGGCACTTGGCAACAGCAGCTGCTGCTGCCTAACGAAACCCCGCAAGGGACGCAAATCAGCTCGCAGTGCGTGTGTCCCTGTGCGAGTGTGTGTGTGTGTGTGTGTGTGTGTGTGTGCGCGCGCGCGTCTGTTAGTGTGTGTGAAGTATGTCGTCGACACGCTTTGGCGATCGTCAAAGACGAAGACATGGGCAATGCGGTCGCGACGCCAATGGTAAGCGGCGTACGAGGGAGGGGAGCGGGGTGTCGAACCGGTTTCATATCAGCTCTGCTTGGCTTCGCTTGTTTATTGTTTCGACGCGCTGTTGCCAGGCGCCGTACGTGCTGCGTGTAACGGAAAGCGAAGCGAGTCGAATCGAAATGTCGAGTTGAATTGAGATGCCACAACACATACAGACGAAGCACAAGTGCAGCACAGGCACTTGCAACAGCAGCTGCGATAATGCAACTCAGTTGTAGCAGAAGCAGACAAAGTACAGCATGTGCTGGCATTTTCTCGTATATATGTTATAAAAGATTTAACAGCAATTCGCTGGAATCGATTAGATAAATGGCAAAACTCTTAATAGATGAGTCAGCGCACAATTCCAGCGATTTAACATTGTTAACACTTGGGGAAAAAACATAAACTGCTGCGTCGCATTTGGGGATATACATTTCTCCCTTATCAATAATTGCTAATTAAACAAATTAGGCGTTAAATAGTCATTTGGAGACCTACCCGTCCCATCATGTCACGGAATATGACAACAAAATCCTCCATCATGTCGCCAGCGACAGCCATTTGTTGTATATTGTGGTAATCGACTGGCAAATTGTATTGGTATGTGTGATTGCGAAACATTTTGACCAGATATTTATATATTTATCACTCTGTTCATCAACGACACCCAATGTGGGTGTGTGCACAGTTATGTATGTATAACTATTTGCAGCGTTTCCGTTAGCCAACTTCCGCTCTGCAATTGCGGCTTGGTTGGGTTTGCTTTCACTAATTTGTTGCAAACCGTTACAAATAATTGCAAACTTTCACTTGTAATACGATTACAAAATCTTATATATTTATAATTAACTAATTAGCTAGAATGAGTATAGCGATACGCAGACTTTGCTTGATTCGCACACAGAACGCGACGCTTGATCAAAATTCACGTTTACTGTTGCAACGAAGAACGCAAAGCAGTTACTCGCTTCAGTACTGTTATATAATAATCGCTTTAGCAAAGCGAATCGAATTTAACGCGCGCACAACCTACGCGTGAGCCAGCTGCCACAAGACTGAGAGCTGTGGCGCTCACAACAGCGATCGTAGTTCGCAATCAGCGCTGCCAGCGTCGCACAAAGTTCGTTTTCGTTGTCGCTCTAATCAAACAGCTGTGGCGCGTGGCTCTCGTCCCGCTCTCTCCACCACTCCTGAGCGCTCTCACTCTCATTGAACTGAGCGCGCAAAAGGCCTCCACGCATCAGTGTACGAAGCCCCCAAGTGTCACCCTCTCTGGCTACAGCACAGCAACTAATTTCAATTTGCCGCTTAAATGCGTGCCCAGAGAGTGAGAGAGGGAGAGAGAGCGAGCGAAAGAGAGTATGTAAATGTATTGAAAGAACGCATTTATAACACCTTCATTGACTGGGCCAGACTATATGCAACCGATTTATTGGGTTGTTTACGGGTTTCTTTTCTTTGTCGGAATATTCGCATGCTAAACCAGTTTACGCCGATTTCACACTTAATCAAGGGCGTTCGCGAGAGCATGATTGGGGCAATCAGACGGGCGGTGGGTGCTTTTGCTGATAGCCACATGACGGGCATATGACGGTCTGTCAACCCCGGCTACTGCGTCTCAGTGGACCTAATGTTTACGGCAAAAATTAGGCACGCCTCTGATTTATCTACTGCAATGGAAATTTTACAGATTGCAACAGTACGTCATTGGTACTTGTGATCTAAAAAAGCAGATGTAAGCTGCAAATGTTTACACGAAAGTTAATAACCAAGTGCAAAGTGTTGCAGTTAGAACCAAATATTCAAAATCAATTTTACTCAGAAGGGACTTACAAGACATTCAAACTAGTTTGGTCAAGTATTCGCAAAAAAAAAGTGGTTGGTTTAGTTTTAATAGTCTAGCACATTTGCTCACCGAAAAAAAAACCCTTAGTCAATCAGCAGCAAGTCATAGTCTTAGTTACAATTGTCTTAAAAACGCCCAGCTGGGAATAATTACAAACGAGAAAATCATTTACTAAAAATTTGATAAAATAAATTTGATTTAATAAATATTTTGACTGACGTTGCTCAGTCAACTTCACTGAAAGCTGCAATAAGTAGCGAGGCTTTTCAATTAATTTATAATATCCCCATAAATTAGTATACAATTGCAATGTTTATGTGTTTAGAGTAGAAACAGCTACAAAACTGGAGCATATGTTTCCAGGGAAAACAATAAACAACAATTGCAATTGGCAGCTAAGGAAACGGATCAAGTAACGTGGGTGGAGAACAAACAATTGATTTTTACAGCAAAAGCACTTGCAACTGTTAATAAATTGTGTAATAATAGCTGCTCTTTAGGAAAAACGTATGCCATTTTGTTGTGCAACAAATAAAAGGCTTTATAGAGAGATTATGAGCCGCATGGAAAACAATTTGACGGAAATATTTTGTTTTTGTCATTTTCAGACACGCGACGACTTTTGAGGACCTGGACTTTAATCAACAGCTCAACTATTTATAATAAACAATTTTGCAGGGTAAATATTTGTGAAGCCTACGACACAGTAAATACTCTTATCGGAAACTAACTCAATATGCTGACAAACGAATACCCACAATTGACTTGCAGTTGCAATGAGTATCTAAAGCTTTAAATCTCAACATCATAATTGAGCTACAAACATTTGGGTTGATTCGCTTAACTTTCTGTTAAATGTTAACGTCTAGACTGGCCAAATTCTGGCATACCATTAAATCAAGCAAGTTGTCTGCGTAGCAACTAAAGAACCGGCCTGCTATCGCTGAGTTCCCATTGTCAGTTGCCAGACAGGTACCAGGGCAGACAGCTCGAACTGGTTGACCTTAAGAATTATCATTAAGCCGCGGGCAACAAACTGCAGCGCGTTGTCGGAATAAACAGACTCTAGGGGGTTATCTTCCACGTTCACTTTTATGTACATATGTACTTACATAAATCTGGTATATGGAAGAAAAAGCCCGTTCAAGCGAAATGTAAAGGCGGAATGAAATCAGCTCAGCAAATGGAAAATCATAACCAATTGCATTAAATAATTTATATATTATCAAGAGCAAAAACAAACGAAAAAACAAAAAAAAATACCCAGCTATAAAAACAACAGAATATATGTAAACAAAATGATTATGCAGACCACAAAGCCATTGAAATAGATCCATTCGACTCATAAACAAGCACAACAGCCAGGGCCAGCGCATCATTAGAGAGTAAAATTCGACTGATAAGCGCATGATAAAAGATCAGTTGACTACCTCTGACAGCCCAGCCCAGACATTATCATTAAAAGCTAGTCAAAAGCATCAATTCAAACCGTGATGAAATACCCCGCCGACTTACGTCAGCAAAATAAAGAGAGAGTGAGTGCGAGAGTGGGAGAGCGAGAGAGTGTAACGGGCAATAAGAGAGTATGATATGAAACTGCAAAGCTTTTTGCTCTTAAGCGTACTGGCCCCCAAAAGTAGAAGTGTTTATTGGGTCAGGCTTGGGCGATAGGGAAATGCCATGATTCAATTTTGAATGTCAAGTGTTGCTGATAAGGTGAGGTGTGTGTGTATGTGTGTGTGTGTGTGTGTACGAGCATGGGAATGAGGATATACATGTGTGTGCCCTTTAACTACTAGATAGGACTATAGAAATATTTTTGTTTTTTTTTTTTATGATTATTGTAATTAGATAACTTTGACGATATGTACCTTCAAGTCTTCCTCAGCTAGTCAGGACTGGAACTACATTTTTAAGCAATATAGTACACAGGTATGTTAAGTATATAGGAAGAATGTTTTTTTTTTTTGTTTGTTTGTTTGATGGGCGCATATTAACGAAACGAGGAGGGTAAAAAGGTTTAACGATTAGTTTCAAATGCGATACGATAAAAATAAACAGCTAAATAAATGTCTAGACAAACGAGCGCAGCAAAGTACAAATTGGTATTGGCTGTAAATGGAAATTGAGCCAAGTTTGCACAGGTTTCGCTTACAGTGTAAACATGGGCAGCTGCCTGTGCATACTTTTCCTTTATCCAAAGCCAAAACAAATCCATATAAAGCGATAAAATGCTTACACTATTCAATTACTAGCAGCTACAATACAAACTAAGAGATGGCCGATTGCCTCGACTTACAGTAGAGTGCCGCCAAAATTTGATCAGATCATGAATGTCCGTTGAGGGCGCTAGAAGCATAAAGTCGCGCCACTCATTAAAGCTTATGTTTAGGCTGCCGTCCTTGTCCATTCTGGTAGGGGGATTATTTTTAAAGAAAATAACCATTAACATTCATGTCAAACGTTTTTAGAAACAAAAGCAATAACCTGCTAAGCAGTTTTCTAGCCTCATCGATGTCAATGTCCAGGCCCAAATCCTTGAATGCAGATATTAACTCCTCCAGGTCCACTTTCCCTGCAATTTGACAAGCATTGTTATAGGCATGTATGTGTATATAGACAGGCCAACTTACCATCCCGATTTTTGTCCAAGTGCGAGAACTGCAGGCACAAATTCTTCTCATGCTCTCGCACATAGTGCAGAAATTCGGCGAACCCCACGTTGCCGCTTTGATTCTTGTCCGACTGCTGCAGGAATTTCTGTGTTAAATTAAACAAATCATATTAACAATAAATTCATAGGGCCGAGCCAAATGCTGCACATGTAACCCAGTTTGTTGGCAGTTGCATTGCCCAACCTTAGCCTTGGCCCCTCAATTGTCAAAAATAACAGCAGCCCGTTTGCCAAAATCAATAGAATTAAACAATGTGTGATCATGTGAGACGTTATGCATATTTCTTGCAGCTGAAACCATAAAAATTGCCACCCAAAGGCCAATTATGCAAAAATCTAAATACACGTTTATGCACATCGCATATCTTGTCTTTTGACAGCGCCAGACAGACAACGAGGTGTGCACAGATCAGATTGTTGTGGCAGACAAGAGAATAATTTACATTTGGCTTATTCAAAAATGTGTTTTGCTTTGTCAGCGAATAATTTATGCAAATTATGTGACGCAAACCCCGTTTGAGAATCAACGCTCGATTGAATAGATAGATGGACACCCACATAATGGGGCCCTCACTCACCACCGCATAGACACTGGACATGCCGAACTCGTGCAGGGCCGCGGACAAATCGTGTATGTCGATTTTGCCATCGCCGTCGCGGTCCAATTGATTGAAGATGCGCTCGAGCCGCTCCTCGTCCTCGGCAGGTATCTCAGTGGGCATGATGGACAGCGGCACGCTCGAGACGGCCACTGCCATGGACACAGTATTCTGTGGCGACACAGTGTTGAGATTGTAGGGCGTTGTGGCAAGATGCGCATGCTGCAGTTGCAGCTTATGCGGCGGCAATTCACTCTCATGACTTGTGCTATTGGCTGACCTCAATGGCGCGTAGATGGCATTTGCCTGCCGAGCGTAGTTGTAACCGTTCTTCGGATCCTCCGGCGTCAAGTCGATATCTATGTCGATGCGTTGCGCTTGCTCGGGTTGACGATGATGATGATGATGTTGCTGCTGTTGTTGTTGCTTTTGCTGCTGATCCGGCTGCTGCTCAGACTGCTGACTTACTACTAAGGACGCGCTGTTTTCTAAACCGACTTGCTTTTTAACCATTCTCCAGACTCGTCTTAACGTTGTTTCAAGTATTACTTGCTGTTGGCGACGCTCTTCTCAAATGCAGTGTGAGTGTTGTCTCCTTTATTTATTTATTTCTGTTTCTGATCCTAGGAATGCCCGGCAAACGTTTCAGTTTCGATAATATATTCGAACGGCCGTCTGTTCCTATGGCTGAAACATTTTGATTTCGGGCTCGGTAACGTTTTCTATCTAAAACTGAACTGAACTAAATGTGTTGAGGTGAGCCCAGCTGATGCGGTGCGAGGCGGGGCGTGGCGTGGCGTGGCGTCGCTTCGCACTTTCTATAATGTCTATAAATAAAGAAATTGAATTTTTTGCTTATTCACATAATATACACAATATACAGCTACGTATGTGTATGAATGTATTTTAAAAGGCATTTATTCTAAAGTAAACAAAATATAGAAAGAAAAAAAAAAGACCCAAGACAACCAAGCATAAATTCATTAAAACTGTGGCGATAGCCCTCAAGCCCCAGACAGCTTCGAGTCAGCTGCGAAGCCCGCACCAAGTCGTTGCCATGAAAATGAAGTCATTGCCGAGCGAGAAAGAGCGCACTTTCACTAATTTTTTAAACAATTTCACACTGCTCTGCTGCCAGCTGGGCAGCGGCGAATACGTGTGAATCATTGATTTTTTTTTTCTCGCTTTTGTGTTATAAAAGGCTGCGGCTCGCCCGGAAATGGCTGAAGCCTTGAAAATTGACAACTCCCCACGCACGTTTGCTGCCAGCAGCAGCAGCAGCAGCAGAGGGTGCAGGCAGAGGCAGGACGATGCTGGAACTTTCTTTTATTTTTTCTTTCTCTATTTGCATTTAGTTGTGTATTCAATTGCATTAATTTAATTTAAATTGCCTTCGCTTTGGTGTTGTACATTCAAAGTCTCAAATTTCACGCTCTGCTCTTTTGTACGTTTTTTGCCAAATTGGCAAAATTAAATTTTTGCGTACGCGTTTTTATCCACACACACACACACAAACCCGAGGCACACACATACATACACACGCTGAATAAAATACTCAGCGGCCGCAAAGACCAAAAACGGCTTGCAGTTTGTTACCTAGTATCTCGACTTTTTTTAAATCGATATAAATATATGTATATATATTGAAAACTTTAAAATTTACTGCATTAATTCACTTTGGATCTTAATTATACGAATAAACTGCGCGCACTGCCAACTCGTATGTCGTGCAAACGATAAAACGATAAAAGGCATTTGCAGATTTTGTGCTAGAGACGTGCGTCGCGTTATCATAGGTCACTTAGCGTCGATTATTCGAACTTGGTTCCGGAACCGGAATCATTCATAATATATTCATTTAGTTATATATTTAGGAACGTGAACGTAGATGCCTTGACTTTCAGCAAAGTAATAATTATTGAACAGCTTACCACAAATTTATATTTTCCATAATTTGTCAAAGGGAACCGAATATATTTACTTTTTCGAATTGCTTTGATCCCGCCCAATGATATATGAAATTTTTCAACACTGAATCCGAGCAGTGGTTCAAATCGCGTAGGAGCTGGCAGTTCGATAGATCTTTTGAATGAACCACATGCGGTTGGCTTTAAATTAATTTCAAAATAGCTCAAAAACGTTTCGGTCAATTTGAACCAAACAAACGTTTATGGTTGGCTATGTGAAATTATAAAACATCTAAGGAAAGGTAAAAACAAACCTTTTAAATAATTTTTTTTGCCATATTAAAACCTGATATTCACAATAATTTAGTTTGAAGAATTCTCAAATAAAAATTGATTTGATTATGTGCTTAAAAACAAAATGCATAAATTTATATATGATTCCTGTTCCGGAACTTAGTTCAAAATATCGAGTAACCGATGCTAACTTTGACGCGTAAAAAACATACGTTTTTTAATAAATTCATTTGTTTATTTCACTTGTGAGAATTGCATAGAATTGTTAAACGAATGCAATATTAGTCGATACTAATTACCTCGCCTGCTTTTGTCTCCTCCAGTTTTGTGCGTTTGCGTTTAGTTGGACCCGCATCCTCCTCGTCCGAAGAATCTAATATTTCGGTAATATCCTCATCATCATCCAATACTTTGCTGGGCTTTCGTTTGGCCGCCGTTTTCTGTAGGCTAACCTCGGTAAGTTTGTCTGTTGCCTCCGTAACAACCTCTTCAACGTCATCATCGTCATCCTCTTCAACTACCAGGCAATCATCATCGTCGTCGTCGTCCTCGACTTCCGTTGGTCGGCTACGTTTTGAGGTGGAGGGACCATCGTCGGTTGCATCATCCCCATTAGCCGCGCGCTTTCGAGAGCTGGGCTCCGTCTCGGCTTCCGCCTCTTTAGGCTCCTCCTTCGGTTGGAGTTGATTTTTGTCGGCAATCACCTCAAACAGGACATCCTCTCGATCGGCATCAAAGTGCGCTATAATAATGCTCAGCTCATAACTCTGGAAGAAGTCGTCGCATTTGAGAATAACACCATCCACGATGTTCATGTCGCTTAGCAACTTTTGCTCATTGCATTCGGTTTCTCCCTCCTCCGAGGATATGACAATGGAGCCAGTGGACTCCAGTGTCACGTCTGGATTGACCATGTTCAAAGTTTTGATGAGCACCTCATCACGGAATGCTTTAATTTGGACACGTTTAGTATCAATGCGCAAAGTGATGGCTGGATCACTAGCGCACACATAACAATTCGGATTGGGCTCCGGGAAAAAGGCATCCGGCACCAGAAATTGATTGCGTCCATTGAGACGCAGTCGGGCGTAGACCGCCTTGCATTGCTCCCATTTGGCCTGCAGCACGCTGAAAGCACGAAGCACCGAGATGCCGGCTGTTATTGCATTGGTGGTGGCAATGGCAGGAATTATGTTGCCAGCCATGGATTTGATTTCAAAGCGTGACTTGCGCTCGATCTCAAAGATGTGGGATCGAACATTGGCACAGGCGGCCACAAAATCCATGGCCGGCTGATCATCCTTATCCCACACTAATGTGTCATTGCCCTCCAGTTTGAGAAAGGCAGCGCTTAGTTCTTTGAGCGCTTTGGCAAAGACATGGGCGCATTCCTCTACGGTCCAAATCTTGTGATGCTGACGCGCAAGCTCTTGCGCATCAGAGCTGACACCGTCGGGCAGCAGTGTATCCCACTGCACAGGCACGGGTGCCTTGCGCGACTTCCAGAGATTCGACATGCGCAGCAAATAGTTGATGTCCTCGTTGAAGAACTTGTTGAACAATTTGGCTGCATCGTAGTTGCAATCCTTGGCCCATTGTCGCGTATTGATGCGCACCACGTTACCATTGGCGTTGGGTGGAGAGTCTGTCTCCTTCTTATTCTCGTTCACGTCTGCAGCATCACCGGCGGCGTCTGCATCCTTCACTTCAGCTGCGGCTTCCTGTGCCTCCGGATCAGCAGCATCGGGGGAAATATCCTCGTCCTCAACCGATTCACCAAACAGCTGACTATTTAACAAGTGTAAATAATATTGGATTTAATAAAGAGAGTAGACGACGCTTACTTGAACAGATGCTTGGCCCAAACAATGCAGTGAATAGGTTCCGAGGGCGTGTTGCGTATGGTGCAGCCGGGAAAGCTTCGTTGTTTTTCCTTGGGTGTGCATTCGTAGCACTGGGTTAGTCCGCGCTTGATCAGCTCAACTTGTCCATTGTAGCCAGAGGTGCCGCTTTCAATCAGCGGCACATCTGCATTCAGACACATGCGATTCACATGATTTCGCGCCGCTCTGTTGTCCAAGGCGCTGAGCACCACGTCGAATTTCTTGAAGAAATTAACGCCGTAGTCAGTGCTGCAAATTAAAAGAAGGAATTAGCTCATGGTAAAGATTTAATAAACAATTTCCTTACGACGTAACGCTGTCATGATAGGCTGTTATGTTTGCATCGGGATTAAAGCTGAGGGCGCTTTCACGGGCAACGCGTGCTTTTGACTTGCCCACATGCTCGCGATGGAAGAGGAACTGCCGGTTCAGGTTACTCAGGTCAATGGTATCCAAATCGATCTGTATAAAAAAAAACAAATAATGAATTAGTGTATGATGAATTGAGTGTCGAAAATCAACTTACAATTTCGATTTCAGTAAAGCCGCTAAGCACAAGGTTTTTGAGCACTTCACAGCCTATGCCACCTGCGCCCACAACCAACACTTTGGACTTTTTAACCAATTCTTGTAATGTTGCGGGCAGTACGCCATCAATTGCTGCAGCCATTGTTTATATTTTATTTAATTCTTTCTCACTTAATGCTATGCAAAAAATTTAATTCGCAAATGACGCCGGCAGTCACACAAACACACATACATTTGTTAAAAACAGTGCTGCAAAACGCCAACAACTATCGCAGCCAAGCTGTTATCGAATTTCATTCTATTCTATCGATACAGCTGTTGATAAAATATCAGATTTCAAATATTTCAACACCCGGTCACACCGCTTTAATTGATTATAGTTGTAGCTTGTGTGTGTGTTGTGTAGAAGCAGAAAACGGACGTTTTATATTTTAAGTGCTTGTTTATGCAGCACGACAATTGCGCGTCAACTGCAATTTAAGAACAAAAAAAAAAAAAACACTTGGTATTCAAATAAATTGTAGTTCTTGCTGTAATAGTCATGGCCGAAGTGCGACGCAGAAAGGCAGAAAACGAGGCTGACGATGCTGCTGCTGCTGCAGCCGCAAGCAGCGCAGCTGATTCTTCTGATCATGTAAGTTATCCAGGCCAATAAGACTGGAAATAAACTAAAATTATACATATGCACATATAGCTGCACTCTCGTGCATCTTCTCCAACATTTTCATAATTCATTGAAGCGCAAAAAAGAAGCGAATTGTATGTATACCAACACAACAAGATATCTACTATACACGTATAGTTGTACGTGTGCCTTCCACACAGTGTGCAGTGTTTTTGTTATTCTCTGACGCACAAGCAGGTGGTAAAAGAGCGCCCACCAGAGAGCCACACAGAGAGCGAGTGAGAGCGCTAGAGAGAAATACCAATAACAATGTACAGCATACACACACAAATACACACACATGCACATGTGACAATAATAAGACCCCGGCTTGTGGGAAACAAATCCAATTAGGCGACCATTACGGAAGCGTACGAAGGAACTATCCATTACAGCCTCAGCCTGCTTAACAAAATGCTTCCTCTGTGAGGACGCGCCCCCCCACCGTCTCTATGGCAATGACAAGGCCCCAGTGTCTCCAGCCAAAAATAATTCCCACTTGCGACTTTCTTATCAGACCCCGCCAATATTTGGCAAACCGATTTAACACGCCACCCCAAACAACCAACCACAAGCAAACAGCGTGAAAACTTGGATAAATTAGCGAAATGTTTCGTATCTTGTCGGCCGCTTATACTGTGCGCTGTATAGCAGCAGACGGCATTGGACTTTGAATTGGCACATATTTAATTTTTTTTTTTTATTTCTTAATGTTTGTTTATCGCCTTTGATGATTGAGTGGCATTTGGTTTATTTGATAAAATGTTACTTGCAGGTCGATTCGGAGGAGGAGAAAATACCAGAGGAGAAGTTCGTTGAGGAGCTGGCCAAGAATTTGCCCCAAGGCACCGACAAAACGCCCGAGCTATTGGATTCGGCTCTCAAGGATTTGCCCGATCGGTATGTGCAAAAATTGATTCATATTTACGTATATGATTAATAAGGCGAGAGCACAAATGAAATTCCAAAAATATTCCAATACAGCTGTTTGCATGCGGCGCACAAACAAAACGCAAAATAACCAAAATAGAATAAGAAGCCACAAATTGTTTGGCGAGCTTTTATAACTTTTAGAAGTTAAGTTAGGTCAAGACAATTGGCCATAAAAAATGAGCAAATAGTTTAGCACATTTGGGAAGCACGTCCGTAAATTTGTACGAACGTTGTAGCACAGTGTAAATTGTATTCGTATGCATTCTGTTTATTTATTTATATTTCTTTTTTTCGTATGCTTTTATTTTAGATGGAAGAACTGGGTCATTCGCGGCATATTCACATGGATTATGATTTGTGGATTTGCATTAATCATCTACGGCGGCCCCTTGGCCTTGATGATTACGGTTCGTTTGCGAATGGATGGGTTCACAAGCTTGACACACAATTAACCACTTACCCACATTTATAGACGCTGCTCGTGCAGGTGAAGTGCTTTCAGGAGATTATCTCAATTGGCTATCAAGTGTATCGCATACACGGCCTGCCCTGGTTTCGCAGTCTGTCCTGGTACTTCTTGCTTACCTCCAACTATTTCTTTTATGGCGAACATCTAGTTGATTACTTTGGCGTAGTCATCAACCGTGTGGTAAGTGCTGCTGCACTTCTTATTAATTGCGATTCTCAATTGATATAATTATTTTCTTTGTTATGCAGGAATACCTGAAGTTCTTAGTCACCTATCATCGTTTTCTATCGTTCGCACTGTATATCGTTGGCTTTGTTTGGTTCGTGCTCTCGCTGGTGAAGAAATATTATATCAAGCAGTTCAGCCTATTTGCCTGGACGCACGTCTCGCTGCTAATTGTCGTCACACAGAGCTATCTGATTATACAGAATATATTCGAGGGGCTTATTTGGTTTATAGTGCCCGTTTCGATGATTGTTTGCAATGATGTCATGGCATATGTTTTTGGTTTCTTCTTTGGACGCACGCCTCTCATCAAGCTTAGCCCCAAGAAGACCTGGGAGGGCTTCATCGGTGGTGGGTTTGCCACCGTTCTCTTTGGCATACTATTCTCATATATTTTGTGCAACTACCAATACTTTATCTGCCCCATCCAATATTCCGAGGAACTGGGTCGAATGACAATGTCCTGTGTGCCAAGCTATCTGTTTACACCACAGGAGTACAGCCTGAAATTGGTAAGACACCCTCACAAATACGCGCGCACACACACACACAGACACACACCTCCAATATGGCTTCTCTAATGAGTATTGATTTGTATACTAATCATTTGCAATTTCAGTTTGGCCTTGGAAAAACATTGAATATTTATCCATTCATATGGCACTCAATCTCGCTGAGCATGTTCAGCTCCATAATTGGACCCTTTGGCGGCTTCTTTGCCTCTGGCTTCAAACGCGCATTTAAAATTAAGGTGAGTCAACATTTCTTTTCAGCGCATTTGTTTTTTTCTTTTAAATATGTGTATTGTGTGTTCAGGACTTTGGTGACATGATTCCTGGCCATGGCGGCATTATGGATCGTTTCGACTGTCAGTTTTTGATGGCCACCTTTGTCAACGTTTACATCTCAAGTTTCATTAGAACTCCATCGCCGTCAAAACTCTTGACGCAGGTTTGTTACACGTTTTGAAGATTCATATGTATGGCCATTACTTAAATAAGACATCTTTTACAGATTTACAATTTAAAACCGGATCAACAATACCAAATTTATCAATCGCTTAAGGACTCACTTGGCGACATGCTTAATTAAAATATTAGACAACAACAACTGTTTGCTTTAGTCGTACGTCTCTACATATATATATACATATATATATTCATTATAAAAAGAAATTTATATATATATTTATATATATCTATATATATACATATATATTTATATCTGTATATGAAAATATGGCGAGCGCCATACAGATGTTGTAAGGGCCCCCAAAAATGATTCAATTGAATCGAACACTATATGAATAGTTATAATTTTTTTAACATAATTTTTGTTATGTTTTTAGTTATAGTTTAGATTTTTGTTGTTATTACAATTTTAAGTTATTTCACTTACGATTACAATTACGATAATGGCATTATATAGTGCAATTACAATCCGTTTACCGGTGATTTGTTAAGCGATTCCATTAATTTTAACGAGCCCTACGATCGCGTTATGAGATTGACCTTTTACCAAATCGAATTAAAAACTGGAAAAAAATGCTTGCGGAAGCCCTTGAAAGGCAAAGCAACAATAAGAATGATGAAGAATTTAATGTTTGTGTCTGTGTGTGAATTTACAATATATATATATATATATATATATATATATACACGTATATCTAGTGTATATACATACATGTATGTGTGCTACATTACTTACTATAAATTGAAAAGGATCTACGCCTCCGAGCCGAGATTAGTCATGCCAGAGAGACGCGCAGTTTAGATTGTGAAATGTTCGTTAGCAAATATTTTAACTTAAAACATAATTTTTGGATGAGCATTTGAGTTTGTTAACAAAACAAAACAATATACGTACGATCAAGTATCTAAAGACTTTCAATTTATGTTATGCTTATTCTTTCTAGTGCAATAATTATTAGTCAAATATTGTTTTATTTTCCAGTGATCAGAACATAAACTTCTTATGTCCAGATTTTTGCATATATGTATATGTATATATTTATATATATATATATTTATGTGCATACACATATTTATTTATATAAATATATACTTAGTTCCTTTCGGAAATGAAATATCATTTAAACGAGAAAAAATTCCGTTGACTCATTCAATCCAAATTAGAGTTGAGCAACTGTTTTAGATATAAGCCAAGTCTCTATTGATGTTATAAAAACAAATTAATATTAAAAAAAACAAAATATAAATAAACTTTTTGTGTAACGATTAACAAATCCTGTCTCAGGGTGAAGAAGCTGTTAGAAACGGGGCAACTTATTTATAAGCTATTGGATAATTATATTTCTAATTTTAGAAATATGCTTTGGCACTTTGGTGGTTAACTTATGGCAATAGCAAATTATAATTGCTATCATTTGGACGGCGGTGCAGTGTCATCAACAATTTCGATTGGCTTTACTAGCATTTTGCTTATTAGAGATCGAGGCAAGTTTTCAACATCGCTGCGCTCCAGATCAAAGTATACTCCACGTTTGCGCGCATCGTCAAGCAAATGACGCCATATCTTTACAGACTGTTAAAGCAGACAAGTTATAGCCAATTACCATCAAGTTAATGCTTTTAATACTTACCTGCAGATCATCAAAATTACCACAGATAACTAGGCAGCGTTGCGGTCTAGTGATAGCCACATTAAGTCGCTGGTAGTTGGTAAGGAAGCCGACGCCTCGCGTGCGTGCATTCGATAGGATGACGACATCCCGTTCCTGGCCCTGATACGCGTCAACGGTTTGCGGTGTAATCTTCATGTGGGCGGGTATCACCTGACTAAGCGTATAGCAATGATTGCTATAAGGAGTAATTAGTCCATAGCTAAAGCGTTTGGCGGGCATCAGCTTGTCCATCTCAATGAGCAGCTTTGCCACAAAACGTGCCTCCTCATCGTTGCTTATGCTTCGGCTGCTCGCATCATTAGTGTCCCGGGTATAGCTCAAATTGATGACACAGTAGGGAATCAAGGGTGAGATCAGTCGCTCGGTGCAGCTGGCATTGACCAGCTGATTATCGTAAAAGTAACTATTGGGCCATCTGCAAATCTCTGGATGCATGCGGTATTGCATGCTTAACTTAAATACTTTGGTGTGCACAAAATGGTTGCCACGCGGTTGTTCCAGCTGTTGTTTCAAGTTGCGCTGAATGCGATCAAACATGGAATTGCCTAAGCCAAAGTCAATTGCCTTCTGGGACAGCACAGTTGCAGGCAACTGCTGGGTATCACCAACCAGCACTAGACCACGTACACCAAAACGCAGCGGAAGCAGGGTCCAAGGCTCGGTGCACTGTGTTGCCTCGTCAATGATGCACGCATCAAAATAATCAATAAAGGCGGCCAGCTTAACGCAGCTTGAAAGCGTAGTGCAAACAATATTGGCTCGTTGTAGGCACGCCATGGAAAACTCGTGCTCTTCGCGTGGCGTCAGGGGCGGCTTCAATTGCTCTATTATCAGGCGCAATTGTCGCTCTTTGGAATTTAGCTGCTGCTGCATATAATTAATCTGAGTAGGAAGCTTTTTAAGTTCAGCAATTTCTATTTCCAGCTGCTGTTGCTGAAGTGTAAGAGCCTCGATGTGCTCGGCCGACAGACGCTTGCGTTTCTCGGCTAGCTTCTTGCCGAGATAGGCATCCAGCGACACGTCTCGCACATTTGGGTCCATTTTCTCAAAGAATCCAAATCGCACGAGCTCAAACTGCGAGTGACTCATGGCCTGGCGGGCACGCTTCAAATACAGCGTAATATTATCCACAGCAGCATTGCTATGTGCGCAAATAAGAATCTTGCGGTCAAGCGTATGATTGCTGGAACCATACATGCACTGTAGCGTGAGATTCGAAATGACCACTGATTTGCCTGTGCCGGGTGGACCCTGTATTAGCGTTATGCTAGGCGTCGAATCGTCAATCAAACGGCTCCAGGTGCGCTGGCATATGTCCATCTGATGGTTATTCAGTCTCTTAAAACCTTTGTATGCCGCCGGCTGCAACAGTCTGTTGTCATAGGACAATACGTTCTCGCTGGGCTGCAGTATGCGCTGGAACAACGGCGAGCGACCCAGCAAATAAATGGCATTGAAAGCGCCCATTTCCACACGTATATTGTCCACCACAGGGCGCACAGTTAAAGTTTTGCATGAGCTAAGCGTATCAAAACTGATGTTCTCTTGCAATATCTCAAAGCATATCTCGCAAGTGTTGCCTGTAAGTGTATACAAGTTATATTACCTTGTATGTCTTTAATTAAACATGCCTACCAGCTATGCGCTGAATGCGTGCAATCGATGCAAACGTCTCTTTCAGCTTATTGTCACTGCTTAGGGTGTACAGGTCAAATCTCTTGCCGAGCTTGTGATTGTCTAAAAAATATCGGGGACATATGGTCAAGAAATGCATACGTAAAATGGATAAACTGACTTACATCTGGTGTTCAGCACGAAGCGAGGTCGATTTCGAGAGTTTGCATGCGAAATGTTAACCAGATTGACTTCAAATGTGCTTTTGGAAATTTTGTAGTCACGCTCTATGGTAGAGATCAGCTCCAATTTCATCAGGGGTATTATAATGCTAGATTAAGATATATAATTATAATAGAGCATTTTTATCTACTTTAACTCAACTTACTCTCTGTACTGTTTGTAGCTCTTGAACTCATTTGGAATGGGTATCAGGACCTCAGACTCGGCCACTGCGTCGGCGCTGCGCGATGTTAACCACTGATTGCCCCAGTTTAAAATGTTGCCCATTATCAAATCGGTAAAGTTTTCCAATCTACCCTGTGCTTGTGACCATGCGCGACGCTCCGCGTACGTGCTAAGTGTTACCTTCTTGGTATCCTTAATACCAGCCACTTTTTTATAAGCACCTTCAACCCGTTCAATCAATTTGATTTGTATATTGTCGTTGAAACGGACATGTCGATTGCTTTTAGCACGCTTTTCGCGCTCCTGGCGCAAATCAAACTCACGGTCCATGTCTGCGAAAGTAACACGATTGCAGGTTCTTTTACTACGCGCCCGTTCCGCCTCCTTGCGTTCGGGCGGACGACTATAGTGGGTGGGCAGGCTCTTTACTAAATCGGCGGCATTCAGCTGCTGTGAGAAGGATTCTATTGTGGCACGACGCTTGTGTGCTGCTTTCTCGGGCTTTGACTGAGCCTCGGCCTTATCCAGCTTGGGCTTCTTAGCTGTTGGTGGCTGTACGCCTTTGGTAAGAAATTCTCCACGGTTCGAATTACCCAGCGTGGGCACACTCGTTGGTTTACGTTTGCGTTCATCGCCGCGGTCGGACGCAACATCCGGCTTTGGCTTGTCAGCAATTTTTTTTAGCTGCTCGCGTCGCTTCTCCTTGATTTGTTCACACTCGCGCTTTTTATCCTTTGGTTTTTGATACCATTTCGTTCTCATCTCCGCTTGGTAGTCCGCTGACCGTTGTCTCTCCAGAATTTGATTTCGGCGCTCGTTTTCCTTGCTTGCAGCTGAAACGCCACGCAATTTGCCACGGCTTTTGGGTAAATGTGGTGCTGAAATCACTTCTGGCCCCCGACTTTTGTCTGTTGATAGCGATTTTATATTGCCTGTCGCGTCCTCAGACTTTTCCGGCGAAGGCAAAGGGCGTTCCATGTAGCAAGACTTGGACCTGTTCAATAAGCGTGCGCTGGGCGCTTTCTTAACGGGTGTTTCCTGGACTGGATCAGGTATTGTTTCGTCTGGTTTTGTCGGAACTTCTTTCTTCTTGTCTGCAGCTGGTGTCTTTGGCGAGGACATGGGGCTTTCAACATAACAAGATTTGGACCTGTTTAGCAAACGGGGGCTGCATTTCTTTATGGGCGTTACAGGCCTTGGTGCAGACGTTGTCGGCAACTCCCTGTCGTTTTCTTTATTTGTAACGCTGGATAACTGCAGCGGGGACGGCATTGGACCTTCCATATAACAAGATTTTGATCTGTCTTGCAAGCGGGGACTGACTCTATTTGTGGGCGTCTTGCGTTCTGTTGCAGGCATCTCAGCTGACACTTCGAGTTGCTTGTCGTCTACCGTTACGGATTTTTTTGGTCGCGTTGGCGAAGACAAAGAACTTTCTATATAAAAAGATTTGGATCTGTTTCGCATGCTGGAGCTGCTATTTTTAGCGGGTGTTTCAGTCTCTAGAACAGGCATCGCAGCTGGCAAGTCCTCGGGCTGTTTTGGTCGCGTAGGCGAAGACGAAGGACTTTGTATATAACACGATTTAGATCTGTTACGCATGCGTGAGCTGCTTTTTTTGATGGGTATTTCAATCTCTGGTTCAGGTATCTCAGCTGGAATGTCTTCGACCTGTTTATCGGTTGAAGTTTTTTGTGGTCTCGTTGGCGAAGACAAAGGACTTTCCATATAACAAGATTTGGATCTGGTTCGCATGCGCGAGTTCTGTGTTTTGGCGGGTGTTTCGGTCTCCGGTTCACTTATCTCAGCTGGCAGATCCTTGGCTCGCGTTTTGTCTACTGCTGCAGTTTTTTGAGGCGATGACGAGGGGCTTTCTAAATAACAAGATTTGGACCTGCTTCGTAGCCGCGAACTGCGTTTCTTGGTGGGCTCTTCGGCCTCTGGAAGTGGCACAGTTTCTTCTGGCTTTGTTGGCAGCTCTTTGGGCTGAGAGCGTCCCGAAACAGTTTTTCTACGCTTGCGCGGTGTGGACTTTTTCTTTGCTCCTTTCGCGTTGGGTTTGGCATGCTCAACACTTGGCACTAAGACTACCTTCAATTCCTGCCGGTTGTCCTCAACAACAGTAACAGAACTTGCTGCCAAGTTCTCCGTACTATTTTGATGTCGTTGCGACATATCAATCGATTTCAGACGCACGCTGCATCTGCGTATCTGGGGTTTTAGAGGTGTGCTGCTGTCAACTGAAATAAATGGTTAGATATATTTTTTAAAGATGCGGCGAGATTCTATTTACCAGATAAAAGGGCCGACAGTTCATCTTCGCTATTGCTGCTGTCAATGCGCAGCGCTTTGGATTTACGGCTCATGAAAATGTTATCCGACAGCTGAGAATCATCGTCATCATCTGGAGTAGGATCATTAGCCTGTTCTTCAACATTTTTCCCATCATCCAGTGGATAAACCTGGGACATGAGATTCTGAGTAAGCAGCTTTGATGACCAATCGGCTACTTTGCTGTAGAGCTCGTCGTCTTCGTCCTCAATGAGTATGATTTCATCGTCATCAATTTGAGTGGCTATTTCGCTTTTAATCCAGGAAGCTGGAGGCAGAAACTCTTCGTCGTGCAGGTCGTCAGGATCCGCATCACTTAGATCCGCCGACCCGTCGGCCATTTCCTCTTTCATTTCGCGCAGCACAGCTTGCGACATGGCAAAGTTTTCATCATAATCGTCCTGGTAGTCACCAACAACTATTTGATCTTCTCCTGGCGAAACAGGAGGTGGCATGTCACCGCCACCTGCTAGGTTTTCAGTCTCCTTTTCGGGCAACTCTTTGTCCGCTTTGTTAACTTCCTCCGGCAGCTCAATTACGTCGCCGTCACGTATTTTTTCGCCAGTTGTAGGAATGTTATTGTTGTTCAGCTGTTTGTAAACATACGGATTTATTTGAAAAACTGATTCAAGCAGATCCTCATCAGGCTCGCCGAAAATGTTCTCAATCTCTTTGGTTGCCTGTGACAGGAGCTCCTGCTTCATCTCTGGCAGCTTTGGCAAGTGAATTGACCGATGTGAAGTTGGCTTTATTGGGCTCTTATCAGCTGCATTGTCAACATTGCTGACCTCCTCATTTGTCCGTACGGGATCCTCTTTATTCCCCGTCTTGGCAACTTCTGTTGGTCTTGGCGGGGTTTTGTCACTATCTTCATCATCCGATATGACGACAATGTCCTCTTCATTTGGACACGTCTTTTTCAATTGAAATATGGCATAATTTGGTGGCACAACATCGTGCGGCGTTTCAACGCCAAGTCCGATTCTATCGCCGCAATTAAGTTGGTGCGTATCTACTTCGAGCTTGGACTCGTTTATAAACACGCCATTCAATGCGTTCTGTTGATAGACATACACCGAAAATGTACATATTTGTAAACAGTTCGTTGTTAATGAAATAAGACGCTTACCAACTGCTCCACGCTGATATTTTCACTGTTTACGATAAACTTCGCATGTTGTCGAGACAGAAAGTCATATTCCTTTAAAACAATCTTGCAGCAGGAGTGCCTGCCCACTGAATTGTCACCAGACTGCAGAATTAGTTTTTTGCCGGTGCTTACATGCTCCAGGTACCAATAGCTTCCTCGTGCATCCATTGCGGAAGTGCACTCAGCTGCAAATTTGATTAATTTTATTTCACAACACAAATTCTTGTCCGAATTGTAATGCTAAATTGCTGCGCTCAAAAAATTAGAGGACAATGTGACCATAAGCCACAACTTTTTTAATACCAAAAATTCTTGATATCATGATATTAAAAAAATACCGCAAAAATATTAGTAGCGCTTTCATTGTTAAAATGCTTGCTTTTTGAGGCTTGCCTACAAAGTATTGACGTTATTATTTGTCATATTTTTGCTTTTAAACTGTATTGGCACAACAAATCTCAAGGGTCGAATAAAATACCAGCCTTGCACAAAATACTGACGAAAATGGAAATCCTAGGTGGCAACACTGCCATATGTCAAATCAGCTGTGTTGCACATTTTGGCGCGATGCATTTAAGTTATGATTTTTGTACATTATGTCAAGAAAACAGTTTAGAAACAAAGGTTCAACACCCGAATATAATGTCAATGCAAAACGAATTTGTGTCGACCACAATAAACCAGGCCCAAGCGTTGCAGGCGCCATGCAGATGAGCGAGAGTATCTTTTGGCCGGACAACGATGCAAGTTTCTTTTCCCATGCCAAGCTGGAGGAATTGTTTAGTGGACAAGATGCTGTGGTGTCGGCACCTTTCAGCAGTCAAACCAGCAATAAATTTCATCAGAGCCAATCGGATGACAGTCTGTTTGGCGATATTTCATTGCCTAGCGCAGAAGAAGCAGTGCCAAGGACTGAACTAGACCAGAAGAGCCCAAAGGAGCAGAGTTTCAAGGAAATCGACCTGAAGGATTTGAGCATGGCTGAAATTGATATTTTCCATGGCGCTGATGATTACAGCGATCCAGTAGTACAAAATACGCAACTTTTTATGGATGCAATTGCCTTTAAGGTACCAAAATCACCAGAGAGAACACAAATGCTGGCTCCGCAACCCAAAGAGGACTCTATAACCATGTCGACATCAATGTCATTCATATCCAAGTCCATTCTAGAAGGCATTGTGCACGGAACACAATATGAAACATACGAAGCTCTGCAAAATCGCTCCATGCTGCAGGCACAACAAGAACTGGCGGCGCTCGATCAGTTGGACTGGCAGACGCAGGCGTTTGCCGAGTTCGAAAGCGCCAAGGACGAGCCCGACAACAGTTTTCCCAGTAAGGGCGATTTCTACGGTCTGCCGGACAGGGTGAAGAATTTAATATTCGAGCATAAGGGCATCAAAAGTTTATATGGTGAGCGAGTCGTTCATACTTCGACATACTTCGCGAATTACTAATATTGAACGCTTTTAGAGTGGCAGGATGAGTGTCTGAATCTGCCAGCCATACGAAAGCGCAAAAATCTAATTTATGCGCTGCCCACTAGCGGCGGCAAAACTTTGGTTGCCGAAATCCTAATGCTGCGCGAGCTGCTCTGCCGCCAACGCAATGTGCTCTTCATACTGCCCTATGTGTCCATAGTGCAGGAAAAGGTGAGCGCCATGTCACCGTTTGCCATTGCGCTAGACTTCATTGTGGACGAATATACGGCGGGCAAGGGCAAATGTCCGCCACAACCGCAACGCAAACGACGCAGCCTGTTTATTGCATCCATTGAGAAGGGCGCCGTGCTTATGGACAGCTTGATTGATGCCCAACGTCCACATGAGATCGGTCTGGTTGTGGTTGATGAGCTGCATTTGATTGGCGAGCGCGGCCGCGGCGCTACATTGGAGGCTTTTCTGACCAAGGTCATGTTTTTGAATGGTATCTATATACTGCCATACACTCCTTCACAGCTGCTAACTGTTCCATCTCCATTTAAGCCAACATTCAAATTGTGGGCATGAGCGCCACCATTGGAAATCTGAATGAAATTTCGGCTTTTCTCAATGCAGATGTTTATACGCGTGGCTTTCGTCCAGTAGAGCTACGGGAGTACATCAAGTGTGGACATGATTTGCTGGAAATCAATTCGGCTGGGCAAACTCTCGAAGAAATATTTGTTCCTCAGCGCACCGTTAGCTACAATGTCAGTCTGTCTTTAATTTTGCGCACAATATTTACCTTGTTTACTCCTTTACAGTACAGCCCCGCTGTGGAGCGCGCCGATCCAGATCATCTAGCGGGCCTAATCAGCGAATGTGCGCCGGAGCATTGCTGTCTGGTGTTTTGTCCCACGCGCAAGAATTGTGAGAATGTCGCGCTGCTACTTAGTCGTATTGTGCCCAAGCAAAAGTTCTTTGAGCATCGCCAGAGTGAGAAAGCCGATCTTATGAGTGCTCTCGACAAGATGTGTGGCATCTTAAGTCCTGTGCTGGCCAAAACGTTGCCCTACGGCATTGCCTATCATCACTCGGGACTGACCACGGACGAACGCAAATATATTGAGACCGCATATCGATTCGGTGTCATCACGGTAATTTGTTGTACTTCTACCCTGGCGGCGGGCGTAAATCTGCCCGCCAAGCGTGTGATTATACGTGCGCCCTATGTCGGACAAGAGTTCATGACTTTGTGCAAGTACAAGCAAATGGTTGGACGTGCTGGACGCGCAGGTCTAGGCGAGGCGGGCGAGAGTATTCTGATAACGCAGAGCAAGGACAATTTTCTTGTGGGGCAGATGCTATTCTCGCCCATGGACAAAGCGCTTAGCTCGCTGGATCAGCTGGATGCCGTTGGCTTACAGGTAAGCCCGTGCCCTCTGGGTCCCCACTCCAGCACTGAGTTCCTACATCTTTCCAGTCTTTAATACTGAGCGTCATTGGCTTGAACCTGGCTGATTGCCGACGCGATCTCAATCGTCTGGTCAACAGCACTTTGCTGGCCGTACAGGCTGGCGCCTTGGAAATAGCCGTTGATGAGCTGGTGCTGCGCATTTTGCGTGACATGTTTAAGAACAAGGTGCTGCAACTGAGAGAAACTGTGCCTAAGGGCAAATCCAATAGCTCGGATATTATGACTACACAGGATATTAATCAGAGCAATCGCTCGGCTTCCGATCGTCGCCTGCTCATAAGCCAATCCACACGCTTTCAGCTAACCAACATTGGGCGCGCCGCGTTCAAGGCGGGCATCGATTACAAACGCGCCTTTGCAATACACAGAGAGCTGCAGCAGGCGCAGCAGCAGCTCATACTCACCAGTTATGTGCATCTGCTGTACCTGGTTGTTTGCTTCAATTCCAATGAGCGTGGCGATGAAATGTTTCCTGCTGATGCTAACATACTCTTTCGCGAATATACTTCCTTATCGACGCAGACACAGGCGCTGTTCAAGCAGTTGGGCTTTACGGAGGCGCATGCGGCCAGGCTAGCCAAGACGCAGTCGGTGCAGGGTCCGTTGGCTTTGCAGTTGAATCGCCTGTACAAGGTCCTCATTCTAGCTGATGTACTGGCCCTCGTGCCGTTGCCCAGCGTGGCCAGCAAGTACAATGTGGAGCGCGGCACGTTGCAGCAGCTAATCAGTCAGTGCACGGCGGCGGCCAGCGCCATAGTGCGTCTGTGCGAGCAAATTGATGAGTTCTGGTGCTATAGGCCACTGTTCGAGCGCATCAATCAAAAAATGGATCGCTGCGGCACGTTGGAACTGGAGTCGCTGTTAGAGCTGCCCGCTGTTAAGATTGTGAGTCCTTACATTAATTAATTATTGAATCGCTTATAACTTGTTTGTGTACTTTTTAGAATCGGGCGAAGCAGCTCTATGCGGCGGGCTTCAAAACCATTGAGGATGTGGCCAAGACGCGTCCTATTGCGCTAGTGAAAGCTGTGGAGTTCATGCCACTCAAAGTGGCCACGGAAATTATATCAGCTGCTAAGGTGTTTGCCTCTATATCCTATATGTTATATCTATATTTAATTATCTATTCGCTTTTGCCTGTCTTAGATAATATTGATGAAAAAACTGGATCATCTGGAGGAGGCGACGGAGGCGCTGAAGAGCTGCCTTTGCACAAGTGAATCACAATCATGTTAAATGTATATAATACAATATATAAGTTAAGGTTATTGTTTTTTGCCTTTTTTAGTTGTTTTGTATCATAGTTTTAATTTTGTTTAAGCACTCGACTTGAGCCTAGAATACAGCTTAAATAATACGCGCACACAAAATGTTTTTGCATACTAAATTTAAATTAATTTGTTTTTTGTTTTTGTTGTTGTTCAATTTGTTTACCGCACTCAAGTATTTTGCTAAGCGCAGCGGCTGTTGATGGTTGTTATTGTTGTTGTTTGTGTACTAAATAAAAATTAGCAGACAAAACTTGAAAGTTACTTTTGTCTCGGCTACTATCACGACAATTGAGTATTATACAATGTATATATTAATAATTTTTTTTTGCTTCTCTGTTTCACGTAAAAGTTAAGCGCAAATTGTGTGTTGGAAATTCCGCCTGCTTTAACTTTAACTATAGAAAAAAATATTATAATTAGCTTGTGGCTAGAAGACTAAAATATATAAAAGAGAAATAGATAGTGTAGAATAGCAGTTGCCTAGGCACCTGGTGCGCCTTCTAGTTATTTACAGCTGAATAAACTGAAAGGAAACAACATGGATATATTACAACAGGAATCGTTAAATCAATTTTATCTGTGTATCATAATATTTACCTTGATTTTTCACAGACTTGTAACCGCGACTAATATGCAAACTCATCGTAGTAATGCTGGGCAAGTCGTGCGCCCGTTTGGGTGCTGCTCACTGCTCCTCCGGCAGCGTATTCGTGTCTATGTGCACGCGAGACCTGCGCCGGGACAATCGCTCGCCGGCGTATATCTGTCGATGAGAAATAGGAATCACTATGATAGTTCGGTGGCGAATGTGACTGAGACTGAGGCTGTGACTGCGAAGCGGATGCATGGGATGATGACGGCGCATGATTCTGATAGATGGATGCCTGCTGCTGATAGTTGCTATTGCCATGACCGGCAAATGGATTGTACGCCCCGCTAGCAGCGGGTGCGACATACGCACTAGCATAGGCCCGGCTCTGATAGTTGGCATGCTGATGCTGATGTGGATGCAGTGGCGTAAGCGGTTTAAGCGTGGGATCGAGCGCATCGTTCAGCGTCACATCGTAGTCGTTCTCATAGAGTTCGTCCAGATTGAGCTTGACCGGCT